GTGTACAATGGCAATCGGCTCTCGGCCGACGCTGACGCTGCCGTTGACGCTGACAGTGGCGCTCCCTCTCGCTCTGCCGCTGCGTCCCTTCACCCGGCACCAACAGCACACGAGAGCTGTGTGTTGTTATTGCATTTGTTGCTCTTTGCTCGCTTGGCAAAATGATTTGCAAAATTCGATCTTTGAATAAAGTACAACGCCTTCGGAATGACGTAAACATAAGCCTGGCACCGAAATAAACGTAAACTGAGAGATTAAAACTGACAAGATCGAGTTCGAGCGAGAGAGAACGAAAGACACGGGGCTCCATATCCGATCACGATTTCACCACCGTCGCTGGCGCCCATAAACCTTGATTCATGCCGAGTAGGCAGACAATAAAGCGAGTACTTCAGATACAGATAACGTTCTATATTAACCCATTGTTGGGCTTTATCCCCGCTCCAGCCGCTACCGTTTAAACTACAAGCCGCAAGAACTCGATTCTATGGCAGCTACTGAAATGTTGGCGCTCGGGGCTTCAGCTGATATGACAAGTGGCATATTATTTGCACTGTGATGTTGATAGCATCTCGCGCTTCGTCGCGCCGCGTTAAGTTGACTGGAAATGGAAATATAAATAACAGCGTTAAGATTCGTATTTAATGGTTTTCATTATCTTTTAATTTTGGGATTTTTCTTGTTGTTCTTGGACCCTGCAACAAAGGCCTGCTCGCGCCTCGCGCTATCTGTTCGCTTGCCGTTCCATATTTCATCTTCTTAACACGTGCGCCTGCCCAAGTGGAAACAGCCCAAATGCAAACCTGTTCCGAAATTCCTGGGAACAGTTCCCTTGGAACTGTCATTGCCTATATATTATAATTACGTACTAAGCCACATTGAAAGAGCTCAGCTCTCTTCTGCCTTAAGACCCGAATTTAATAAGTGTACCTCTTAATATACTGTATATTTTCTAAGAGTAGGTTCGCCTCATGGAAGTATTTCGTAATCGCAATCGCCGTATCAAATATGCAAATAAACATGTGCTTATGTGTGCTCATGTACATATGTATGTGTCTGTGTTAACATACGGTCCATATCGCGTGCGTGTATTCAAACTCAGCTTATCAACAGGTTCGCCTCACACGATCACGACCGCAACTTCCACATTTGCCATGCGGGCAATTTGGTTGCCATAAAGTGTGCACAAACATTTGCTATCAAAGGCGTGTACAGAGGGGGGGCTTTATTGCCCACGGTCCCCAAAAATGTCAAAAGTATAAAATTATTCCTGTCGTATTCATGAGATTATATTGCCAGAAACTTAATGTGTACACGTACACAAGAAAAGATTGTGCAACAATGCGACAAACAATAATTATTACTTCGGCTTAAAAATGATTGAACTGTTATATGTATTTGTAAAATACATATATTAAATACACTATCAAATGAAAAGTTACTTGTACGTATCTCAATACATCATAATCGTGAAATCCTCACGCCCTATCCAGCATATGATTTCACAATTCACTAATATATTTATTGCAGAAAAGGTCTGTCTTTCATTATATATATCTCAACATAACGGACTCTTAAATACCTAACGCCCTATCCAAATTTACTTTTTGTTAATCTAGTCTGCCCCTAGGTAAGCGCCACATATTTTGTATCTTCCTGTTCAATCTATTCACAATCATTTTTGCTTAACGAAACCCGTCAAAAAGTATGCTATAGTTTAACTCAAATATAGTTCCTAAAAATTCCGCTAGGTTGATTCAATTACAAACATTTAAATTCTTTAAAAGTAAAGACTTTTGATAGTAACTATATAAACAGATATCTCTATATTATAAATATGTCAATCCGCGGACAAATCGTTTAAGAAAAAACAGTTGTAACTCCTTTAGTCCTTGAGCTTAAGATAATATGTCTTATCGATATCCGACGGCTCCATTGAAGCTGTTCTCTTATTAAATCGAAATAGTTTTTGTTTTTATATAATTTCTCGCTATTCAGTTATATTTCACACACATAATGTTATCTTTAGGGCATAATATACTCATCTTTAAACGATAAGCTAATATATAATACAAATACTGTAGGCTGATCTCTAACATTCTGAAGCTTTCTATTTCTCATTTCCATCCTGCGCTTCCAACTCAGTTGCTGAGTTGCTGTGCTGTTTGGCGGGTGGATCATCCCAAGGCTGAACACTGGTACGACCAAATATCAGGAAGAGCCCGTTGCCCGCCAAGTAGACGCCAGCTGCCACAAAGAATACTATGCGCCATTGATTTGCGTCGTACTGTAAGAAAATGAGATTTATCACAAACCTTTCAAATAGGAGGAGCTCAAAATGTGACCCACCTTATCGGTAACAACGATGCCGACCAGGAGTGGAGCAGCGAGGCTCATTAAATTCGCAATTGCATTGCAGATGCCCATTAGGATGCCCGCAAAATTGGGCGACAGATCAATGTGATTTATTAGGAAACCCACGTGGCTGGCGGAGCTTATGCCTACGGTTAGGGTCAGCAGCATCACGGCCAGGCTGTCCATATGCCGCGGCACATAGCCGAGAGCAATGAGCAGGCACATGGGACCCCAAGTGCCAATTGAGTTAAAGAACTTCCGGTTGAACGAGAGCGAAATTGAATCCTTTCTCTGCATAAGCTTCGAGAGCCAGGCAAAGAGGAAGCTGAGAACAAGCATGGCGGTGTAGGGCAGCGCAGAGAGAACTGCATTGGCTTTGATGTCCTTCCCCAGGATGTTCTTCATGTAACTGGGAATCTGCGTCAGCAAGGTCCAAAAACCATACGCATAAGCAGATTGCACGGCAACAAGCGCCAGGACGGCAGGTGAGCGGAAGAAGCTCAACCAGGGCGTGGTCTGTTGATGGCTGGGCAGCTCCGCATGGGCACTTCGCTCGCTGGCCTGTCCCAGCTCTATCAGCTCTCGCTCCTCGGCGGATATGTTCTTGGAATCTGCCGGCGAGCTGGCACCCCAAAGAAAGTAGACAACTGACCAAATGCAGCCCGCGGCTCCGGATGCATAGAAGATGCAGGGCCAATCGCCAATGGAGACCAGCAGGCCACTGGTGGCCAACATTATGATGGTACCAAACTGGTTGCCTGCATACGTAAAGTTGCCCAGAGAGGCGCGCTCCTTAGGTGGCACCCAAGCGGAAATCACCGTATGGGTCGAGGGGAAGAGCAATCCTTGGCAAATGCCCTCGACCAAACGCACCGCACAGAGCAGCTGCCAGCCTCCCAGTCTGGCGCAGAGTGGCGTTAAAATGGTCAACACCGAGCAGACGGACAAGCCGGTCAGAATTGTGACCTTGCCGCCAAACCTACGTGCCAGAGGACCAGCTGGCACCTGGGTAAGCACGTAGCCCCAAAAGAAACTGCTCAGCAACAGAGATTTTATCCGCTCCGACCAGTCGTATTCCTAAACGGGCAGTGGATATAAGTTGGGCGAATATTCAATCAACATAAGCTTTTACTTACGGGAAACTCGGCCATGGCCACAACTGCTACGGACAGGTTGACCCGCATGGCGAAGCCCACGGTAAGTGCGCAGAAGAGCAGAAAGATTTGCACGTGACGTATTCCAAATCCAGAAGCTGTGGCAATAAAAGAAAAACAATTCATCCAGGTGTGCTATAAAAAGATATGCTAACGCAAAGCTTCATTTCTTATGCTAAGCTGTTCAAAATGATTTGTGGACTTCCAAGTTAGATAAGTGCGCTTCAGTTTTCTACATTGACCCACTTTTATATGGGCCTAACTTATCTCGAATTTAAAGCCATAAATAATGTTGATAGAGCTACAAAGTGATGAATTTTATATTAAATATTGCATACAAAATATTTTCATATAAAATATTTCATACATATTAAAAACATTATTCAAACATAGGCAAAAATCATCCTTTAGATAAGAATCATCACTTTGTAGCTATGTTAAGTATATTTACGGCTTTAAATTCGAGAAAATATTTTATGATTTTAATTTTTATTACTATAATTATTTTATTTATTGTCATTATTTTATTATAATTATTTTATTCTAAAAAGAATAAAATGAATAACATAATAATGAAATACTAACAATTACAATGTTTCAAAATTTGAAGATATGTGATCTATACTCCTCGGCGTGGTCTACCTACATTCGTTTTCGAAACGACGATTCTTGACCATTTTGTTGCTGCTTTTGTTTGTCAGTTGGTCCTTTTTATGTTGAGCCTTCAGTGCGTTGCATTACCGCACTTCACGAGATCTTTTCACTAACTAGCTGCTGGGTTAACGGATGTAGCATATTACGAGTTCTTCTCTACAACAAATGGTGACAGCTTCTGTGTTTATAATTGTATAAATCGCGTGCCGTCGGCACGACTAAAGTAAATATGCTTATTTGTTATTTGATAAGATAACACTCGGCTTTCAAAATATTCATAGAAGTACTTACCAAATATTATGGTGATGCGATGACAAGGCGAATATACTTTAGAGGACAAGTTCCTTTTATGAACTGCATTTTTATATACAAAACTAATCCTATTGAAAATGGTTAAAAGAGCATATTAGTTTTCTGCAAATGTATTTGATAGACGAAAGCAAGCACACACAATTCCATATATTCCTGATCAGGATGACACGCTGAATCAATCTATGTTCGTCCGTCTCTTTGAACACGTCGAGTACGTTAACTATGAGAGCTAGACTTTATAATGTATATCAACATAGACTTCTCGTATATCATATTAAAAATAAACATAATTTTCATATCTTTCGGAAATTTCACTGAGTGGACAACGCGTACGTTCTGCCGTTTCGAGGGCTTTGGGTATGTATAAGCTAATTTGCGAATGCGTGAAATGGTAGAGGTTGCCTTCTAGCTTACATAAATCTAGATAAAGATTTATAAATAGTAACTAAAGAATAGCAAAAAAAAATAGGAGGCTAAAAAACTTAAGATAAGAATCAATTTAGTTGCTCATAATAGGTTTTTTATTATTCCTTAAACCAAAAAGATATATGTACAAACATACTTAATACGAACTATAGCTAAGCCATGAGCTACAGTAAACACTTTGATGCGGCTCACTCCATGATTTGTACGATTAAAATTAAAAAAAGTATACGATATTTATGGGTCTAGATGCACCCTGTCAACTGTTGTCTATACTCTACCCGAATAATTAACATCATTTATCACAGCATTCCGATTTTTGCGATTCCATCTCTGGCATGGAGGTATGATCGACCTTGGCGGGAGGGTCATTCCATGGCTGTACATCGGCACGCCCGAATAGGACAAAAAGGCCGTTGCCAACCAGGTAAATAGCAGCGGCAACAAAGAACACAAGACGCCACTGTTCCACATCATGCTGCAAATAGAGGTGGAGGGAAATTATCCATGAGACACCATGCCAATAGATCTCCAAGAGAAACCTACCTTATTGGTAACGATAACACCGACTAAGAGCGGGGCGCTAAGACTCATTATACTGGCCAATCCGTTGCTGATGCCCATTAAAGTGCCAGCAAAGTTGGGTGAGAGGTCAATGTGGTTCACCTGAAAGCCGAGATGGCATGCGGCATTGATGCCCACGGTGAGCGTGAGCAGCACCACGGCCAGAGAGTCCTGCTCCTTGGGCACATAGCCCAATGCAACAAGCAGGCACATCGGAATATATTGACCAATCGTATTAAAGAACTTCCGGTTGAACGAGAGCGAAAGAGATTCATTCTTCTCCATAAACTTCGACACCCAGACAAAGAAGAAGCTTAGCACAAGATTTGCAATGTAGGGTAGTGAGGAGAGCAGCGCGTTTGATTTGATATCCTTGCCCAAAACATTATTCATGTAACTGGGTATCTGCGTCAGCAAGGTCCAGTAACCCCAGGCGGAGGCGCAGTGCACAGCGGTAAGGGCCAGGAATGGTCCCGAGGCAAAGAAGCTCAGCCAGGGGGTGGATTGTCGATTGCTCGGCTGGTGCGAGTTGACTGGTTTCTCGCTGGCCTGTGCCAGCTCAATCAACTTGAATTCTTCCGGAGAGATGCTTTTGGAATCCTTCGGCGAGCTTGCACCCCAAATATAGTAGACCACCACCCACAGGAAGCCACAGGCGCCAGAGACGTAGAAGATGCTCGGCCAGCCAGCTGCAGAGGAGGCGAGCAGTCCACTCGTGGCCAGCATAAGGATCGTGCCGAATTGACCACCAGTATAGGCACAAGTAGCCAAGGAGCCTCGCTCTCTAGGCGGTATCCATGCAGAGATTATCGTATGACAAGACGGGAAGAAAACTCCCTGGCACAAGCCTTCGATCAAGCGTAGTCCGCAGAGCAGCGACCAGCCACCTAGGCTGGCGCACAGTGGCGTCAACAAATTGAGTACCGAGCAGATGGAAACGCCGGTCAACAGCGTTACCTTGCCTCCAAACCGGCGGGCCAAGGTGCCGGCGGGCACCTGGGTGGCCACGTAGCCCCAGAAGAAGCTGCTTAATACCCATGATTTTGTCTTCTCCGACAAAGGGTATTCCTAAATCAATAAGCATTGGTTATATATGACTCTATTTACAATCGTATTTGCTTACCGGAAAGTTGGGATTGATCGAGGCGGCATCGGTCATGGCCACAACAGCTACGGATAGATTAACCCGCATGGCAAAGCCAACTGTTAGACCGCAGAATAATAGAAATATCTGCCAGTGACGAACGCCAAGTCCAAGACCTATGGAATTAGAGAAAACGTAACTTATTAAGAATATTTCAGAAACGACCTGATAAGTCTTTAAAGTTAATTTCCCCAAATTAATTATCTTGTGGGAGTGCAGTTTTTAATGTTATTCGAATGGAAAATTTTTGGGGTGTTTCGTCTGGGATTGAGCTTTAACACACAGAATGAGCAATGCTGCAAATACAGCTATCTGCAGAGATAAGGTCAGTAAATCAAAAATGAATTACCCTTATGATTTGTTAATGCATTGTAAAAACTTAACTGCCGTTTCATTTTTACGTGAGGAAGCTGGCGAAGGTCAAAAGAGGACAGAAAACGTAAATAAACGATTCTTATGTATTTCATGCTTTAGTAATACTCAGTATCCATATTTTTAATGACAGAGTTCGGATATCCTTAATGGCTTAACTCCTGATATTAAATGCCTACCTTCATCTTCGAAGCGACGATTTTTTGCTATACTGATGCTGCCTGCCATTGTCTTTTGAGAAGAGTTCGGTATGGTGCATTACCACGGACCACGAAATCTTTTCGCTAACTAACTAATTCATATTTGGCTCAGCATCTTATAAGTGCTTTATCCGAAAATTATGATCGCCTGCCTTGCATTATATGAGTTGCCACACTAATTATCTTAGTGGAAGAGGGGAAGCACGACTTAAGTAAATATTTGCACAATCTGATAAGATAACAATGGAGTGTGAGTAAAACTGGTAGATGCATACAGTATTAAAGTATTTGCCCAACAAATCGGCAGCTGAATGTATAGACAAATGTCAACCAGAGCAAATTTGTAAGGCGCTTCTGTGTAAACACGTTGTCATTTGATAATTATGCTTGTAGGCTAATTTATGGTCGTGAAGATCAAGTTGATTGACAATATCGTAAATAGGTTAAGCCCACTTCCTTTCTGGGCATGCCTAGAACCAGCTGACTGGCACTGACAAAGTTTCTTTAAATCGAATGAACATTATCGAAACTCTGGAAAAACCACTTCCTCGCTTGCCTTGAAACAAAATAATTGTACACTTTTAAGTAAGATAGACGTGATAGATAAGATAGACGAATTTAAATAAATTCCCAATATCTAAATTGGATTTTTATTAAAGTAAATAACAAGATCTTATCTATTTAACAAAAACCTAGCCTAAAGGCCGGATGACTAACAGTCTCTCTCTGCCATGTTCTGTGACTCCAACTGTGGCGTAGAGCTGCGACGCACCTTGGCTGTAGGATCGTTCCACTCCTGGATATCCGCACGTCCAAAGATTAAGAAAAGACCATTGCCCACCAAATAGAAACCAGCGGCAATAAAGAAAACAATGCGCCACTGGCTGGCATCGTGCTGTCGAGAAAAAGAGACAAGAAAGTTATATTACAGTCGGAAATCCAACTAAAAGATACAGACAACCCACCTCATTGGTAACAATAATGCCCACTAACAGTGGTCCAATGATGCTCATGACATTAGCAATTCCATTACTAATGCCCATTAGAACGCCGGCGAAATTCGGGGAGAGATCAATGTGATTTATAACAAAGCCCAGCTGAGCACCCGAGCTAATGCCGACAGTGAGTGACAGCAGGAGCACAGCAAGGGTATCTTGCTCCTGCTTCACGTAGCCCAGGGCAACAAGCAGGAACATTGGAATGAATTGGCCAATTGTGTTGAAGAACTTGCGGCTAAAGACCAGGGAGACTGACTTTCTCTGCAAAACCTTTGAGAGCCAGACAAAAAACCAGCTGAGCAGCAGCATCACGGTATAAGGAAGGGAGGAGAGCAACGCATTAGCCTTGATATCCTTGCCGAGAACATTCTTCATGTAGCTCGGAATCTGTGTCAAAAGCGTCCAAAAGCCCCAGGTTGAAGCGCAATGCGCAGCTGTCAGCGCCAGGAATGCCGGCGATGTAAAGAAGCTCACCCAAGGCGTGGGTAGGCTCTCCTTTGGCTGCTCTGGCTTACTGTCCACCTCTTTGGCCTGCGCCATCTCAATCAGCTGCTTTTCTTCATCTGAGATGTTCTTTGAAGCGCCTGGCGAGCTGGCTCCTCTCAGGTAGTAGCCCACTACCCAGACACAACCCACACCACCGGATATGTAAAAGATGCTGGGCCAGCCAGCCATGGAAGCTAGCATGCCGCTAGTGGCCAGCATTACAATAGTTCCAAACTGTGCGCCCATATAGGCATAGGTGCCCAGCGAAGCTCGTTCAGATGGCTGCACCCAAGATGATATCAAAGTATGGTAAGATGGGTAAAGCACACCTTGACATATGCCCTCAAGCAAACGCACGCCACAAAGCACCTGCCAGCCTCCCAATCTGGCGCAAAGTGGTGTCAAAACATTCAGCACGGAGCAGATGGACAAACCTGAGACGATCGTAGCCTTGGCGCCAAACTTGCGTGCCAGAAGACCAGCGGGCACTTGGGTCATCACATAGCCCCAGAAGAAGCTGCTCAGCACCAAAGACTTTGTTTGTTCGGTCCAGTGGTATTCCTAAATGGGCAGAAAGTAAAGAAGTTACATGATGTAGTACTGCTCAACCTTCCGTTCAGGCAGTTCTTACAGGCAGTTCAGTCATGGCCACAATTGCCACGGACAGGTTAACTCGCATGGCAAAGGCAACCATCAGGCCGCAGAAGAGCAAAAACATTTGCATGTGACGCTCGCCCAGACCGGAGCCTGGAATAATATGACGATATTAAACATAATTGTATATGCTAGAATGTATTAGGCATAAGTATATAACAAAAGTTATCCTGCGGATAAGCTAGCTGGCAACAATTTTAACTGTACTGCAAGCCTAGGCAGAGGCGAGCCCCCGTTGGGGGCTAAGCTAATCTCAAAAAAACCTTTTGATAATACTGACTATTTAAGTCTATGCAAAAGACTTGCCAGCACCTAGTTAAAACTAAAACTTACATTATTTTTTTAATAAACTCCTTTTCGGTATCTAAAATTCGTGCTCAGTGTGTCGATGTTCGGTTTCGAATCTGCAAAAGAATATATTTTTAAATAAAACAACTAATTAAAAAACAATAACAATTAATCTAATTATGTGCCCGATTATCAAATACCCTGAACAATCTCCTACCAAAACCAGAAGCAGGTCAAGCTTTTTTCAAGCTTAGATATACTCAAAAACAGGATTGCGATATAGACTCATCGATTGTTATCGCTGATTAACAAACACATACTACAAGAGGGAACTACACTCAAAACTTCAAGACCCTAGCTCTTATAGGTTCTAGGAACGACGCACAGACAGGCAGATGAACATGGCCAGATTGACTCGGCTATTGATGCAAAACAAGAGTATTTATACCTAATGGGGTCGGAAATGCTTCCTTCTGCCTGTTGCATAAATGTGCACAAAACAATATACCCTTTTACCTATTTTCAATGGGATCAGGGTATAAAAATAGAAAATTGTTTCCGCTTGCTCGCGTTGCTCATGACGTTGCATTTGCAAACACACACTTATATGGCTTCATTGCTTCTGATTTTTTTCATTCAACTTTTCAATCACTTGCCGGTCAAATTTTCTACACACTTTCCCAAGGGAACGTTCAGTCAAAATTTTAGCTTATCAGCTTTTTCATTCAGGACAAAGTCTTTCATATACAAATATAAACTTTGGATTAATGTAGCATATTTACCTTAAAACGTTGCTTAAACGCACTTTTGTGGTTTCTTAACATATATTTTTTCTTTCGTCATTTGGTCTTTATACACATATGCAACAAGGCCTTATCTACAGACTACACGCTAAACTTATACGACAAATTCAGATAATATATATATGTTTATAAATATATATATATCATAGGGTACAATATAGAAATACGAAACAAACGCAAATTCGCTGGGGCTATGTGAGAATACATCTCCTCGAATTACAGTTAGATTGGCGGCTTCTGTCGATCGACGATCGAACCAGTCAGTGGGCTGGAAATGTGAACTAGATGACTAGCGATTTTCTCTCTCTCTCTCTCTCCCTCGTCGGGGGGCTCACCAGGCGCACCTCTAATGCTGAGACTCCACCTGCGGTGTGGAGTGGCGACGCGGCTTGGAGGGTGGATCGTTCCACGGCTGTACATTGGCGCGGCCAAAGATGATGAAGAGGCCATTGCCCACCAGATAAATGGCGGCGGCAATGAAGAAAACAACGCGCCACTGTTCCACATCGTGCTGCAAGGAGAAAGTGAGAGAAAGTTATTAGCATGCCTGCTGCTGCTCGAAGGGTTCTCCACAAGCACTCACCTCATTGTTAACAATGAATCCGACCAGGAGCGGCGCAATGATGCTCATGATGTTGCCCACACAGTTGGTGATGCCCATGAGAATGCCCGCAAAATTGGGCGACAGATCAATGTGATTGATCTGAAAGCCAAGATAACAGGAGCCATTGAAGCCAACTGTTATGGTCAGGAGGATGACAGCCAGATTGCTCTGATCACTGCTGACATAGGCCAGGCCGATGAGCGCGCACATGGGCACCCACAGGCCGATGGAGTTGAAGAGCTTCCGGCTGGCCACAGTCGAGATGCAGTTGCGCTTGTTCAGCCACATGGCAATGGCCGAGAAGATAAACGACATGACGAACATGGCAGCGTAGGGCAGAGCCGAGAGCAACGCATTCGACTTGATATCCTTGCCCAGCACATTCTTCATATAGCTGGGTATTTCGGTGAGCAGCGTCCAGAAGCCCCAGTTGTTGGCGCTGTGCGACGCAATCAGCGCCAAGAAGGCCGGCGAGGTGAAGAAACTGAGCCAGGGCGTGTGCATCTGCTCCTTGGGCTGCTCTGATGTCGCTTCGTTAGCCTGCGTCATCTCGATCATCTTAAGCTCCTCCGCAGAGATTTTCTTGTAGTGCGCCGGCGAGCTGGCGCCCCAAATGAAAAAGAGTATGGCCCAGATGCAGCCAACGCCTCCGGAAATGTAAAAGATGCTCGGCCAGCCAGCGGAAGAGGAGGCGAGCAATCCGCTCGTGGCCAGCATGATGATGGTGCCAAACTGATTACCCGCATAGGCGGCGGTGCCCAGCACGGGTCGCTCATTGGGCGGCACCCAGGCCGAGAGCAGCGTGTGCACCGATGGAAAGACCACGCCCTGGGACAAACCCTCTACGACGCGCAGGGCGCAGACCAGCTGCCAGCCGCCCAACTTTGCAAACAAAGGCGTCAGTATATTAAGCACCGAGCAGATGGACAGACCCGTCAGCAGCGTGATCTTGCCGCCAAATTTGCGTGCCAGCTGTCCGGAGGGCACCTGGGTAAGCACATAGCCCCAGAAGAAGCTGCTCAGCAGCAGGGACTTGGTCTTCTCCGGCCATTTGTACTCCTGAAAGCGTCAAATGTAGACGTGCATTGTATAGATGTGTGTGGACAGTACTTACAGGAAAGTGAGGATTAGCTTCAGCAGCATCTGTCATGGCCACGACGGCCACAGATAGATTGACGCGCTGGGCATAGGCAACAGCCAGGGCGAAAAATAAGAGGAACGTTTGCAAGTGTCGTATACCCAGACCATGTTCTGAAAATATAAATAGATTGCGAATGGTCGTTAATACGCATAATCAAGACATACGTAATATTGAACTTCAACTTGATTCACACATGTATGTACTTGACAGATCGATCAGCCAGACGCCTTCAATATGTGCTATCAGCTATTGGCTGTAGGTCACCTGTAGGTCAGTAGCCTGCTGTCACTCTTTAGCTAAAATCTGTTGTTTTTGCGTAGCACTTAAATGGAATATTACCCCAACAGGCCCCCCTAACAGCCAAACACATCTACACGTGGCTGCCTATGGAACGGGCAGCCATACATAATCATATAATCGTATATCAAGGCGTGTTTTTACCACCTCTTTGTTGGCAGATACTATCACGTCAGACGTTCGTTTCATTTCGCATCAGATTTACCATAGCTTATCTGGCCAGACGAGCAGATAAATTATGTGCCGCTACCAGTGTTTATTGGGCAAGGGTCTGTGTGGGTTATGAGAATACCCAAAGAAAAAAATTCCATTCACACTGATTGTTTATCTGGGCTTTCGCCCCCGCCAAAACTGGCGCCAACTTGGCAGCCGCTTTGTCGTCATTGCCACGCCCCCGCCCCTTCTTACGCCTGTCCTTTGTGGGTATTTTAGGTGGCAAGATAATGTTCTGCTTTGTTTCGGATGCGTAGAACTGATTAAGATATAACCGCTTTACGCTGCTTTTTTATACGCTTAACGCCTGACGCTGCTTTACAGCTGTAGTTATAAAATTTGGGGGGCTCGTCTTGAACGTTAGTTTCTTATCATGTCGTTTAAACGTATTTAGAGATTAAAAATCTTTTAGCTGAAGGAATTATTTTACGGTTCCCTTTTACTTTAAGTCATTATAAAAAACTATTTGAACTAAGCACATAATTTTTTCTAGTTGTAGATCGAGTACACTTGATCACTATGCTTTGCTGAACCAGCTAGATCAATATAATATACATTATCATTCAGAACAATAAGCCTATAGCCCGTCAGTTGCCATTTAGATTGCCAAGCTGCAGTGAAGCGGAACAAATGCGTATCTCGGAAGACACAGAAAAGTATAAGAGCTGTGTAAATATGCTATTGATTAATTAATTTTCACAATAATCAATTCTAGTCAGCGGAAACTTATTGACTTATTGACACAATAGTTGGGCTAAAATCAAACAAACCTTGCTCTTCTTCAAAGCGACGATTCTTCACCATGGCGAAAATTGAATTCCTTCAAATCTGAGATTTTACTAAGATACCTATGAAAATGTATCAATATTGCAATTTTTTTTGAATACTTGATGAAAACTGCTCAATGTGACAGAACCGCACGCCACGGAGCCTGTTCTATAACTAACTGATTGATGCTTTATAGAGCGTCTGATTTATAAAGACTAAAAGTTCTAATAATTTTCAACACCTTCAATGCTTGACTAGATGCGCCTAATCTAACAAAGACTCTGTATGTATGTGTGTGTGTGTGTGATTCAAGTGTGCTGTAAATATATTTATTAATATACTTTTTAACGGTAGCTCACAGCTAAGCCCGTGTCGAGCGTCTATGCCTATCTGGTGGATCTTTAAATACTCACAATAAATCTTCAATTTAATGCAAACCATAAATCGCTCTCAATCATAAAATGTTTTTTAAAAATTCTCATATTGCTGCATGCAAATAATTTACGTGCACAAAACTTATCTAAAATCGAACTCAGCTTAAAACTTGACCTAGTTTTAATCTTAAAAACATATTTAAACTAAGCCGTTAGCTGCTTGAAAGTAATTGCAGCTGGCAATGCTGCGTTTTCAAAATTAAAGCTTTCAAGCAGAGCTTTTGTCAGCGCCAAACTTTTACAACTTTTGTCTTGAGAAGCCAGAGCTTATTGTTTACAACAGTGAAGACACCACATAACGACCCGCAGCTTTTGACTAAGCTTTGTTTCGTTTTTTTTTTTGTCGCATCTCGGCAAAGCTGCCGTTAAAGTTGACTGATCGCGGTTAGCTGAGTGCACTTGTAATGTAATTGTAATTGTAATTGTAATAACAATTATTAGGTTTTTCTCACACACCTGAAAGCGTGGCACGAATGACGCCTGCGAATGATAAATGGGTGGCAGTTGGGCACGCTGATGCATAAGCCACTGAGCTTAGCCCCACAACCAGTTAATTATAGTTAGAGAGATTTGTAACAAGGGCCTCAGCAGACTTGACTAATTAAGAATCTGATTGGCTGAGGGCTCGCTTGTGCGCATATTGCGTATACGCCTCGGGGAATATCCTCAAGTGAGCGCGATAAGCATAGGTACTTATTACTTAATGCATTGTTTTCAGTTTGATTTTTCCTGCACGCTTACACATTAAGCCCAATGACTTTGATGTGTCCATCAGATAGAGTTAACGATAAAGGCAAGGCAACAGCAAGCAGATAATGGCTGCATGCCACTTGTTGATAGCTGATGGAAAATCTGATTTGTGCGTCACGGTGTCAAAATGTATGTCACATAGATTGACGCAGCGAGGGTCTATCATGCTCTTTGCTCATGCTCGAGCGTAATTTTAAATTTTCTTCTTTTTTATTTTTGGCAAACGTGAAACTCGCTGAGCGTGTTTTATTTAGCTGTATCCGAAGCAGTAGCCGTAGCTGTATCTGTATCTGTATGTCATTGCGAGGCTAGACAGCATTGAACTTGGCACTTGAGTGTGTGTGTGTGTGTGTGTGTGTACCTGCTGTGCTGGTGTCAACATAAACATAAACCTAACGCCTTGTGCCGGCGCCTGGCGCCTGCCGCCTACCTTGCCGCTGTGAATAATTTGTAAGTTTTATTTTAGGTACATTACAATTACATAAAATCAAAAGTCGGCATCGTTTTAAATATATAATTTATGTCTTTACGGAAGGAATTTCAATTATTTTGTCAAATGCTAAAGTAAAACAAATTAACATATATATTAAACGTATACATACACACAAATATATATATGTGTATATATATTTATGCATTTAGCTGGAAATGAAGTACGGGAGGAGGCCTGCGCACCTTCCTGTAATTAGCGTTCGATCCCTTTTAATTGTATCTGGCGACAGCAGCTGCACGCGATTTGACTTTTGTCAAAACAGGAACATATATTAAGCTTAACAAATATGTGAGATTTATGTTTTAGCCATATACGTCGCTAATTGTTCAAAGAAATTATCTCTAGTTGGCAGCTGGGTAGCTAGTCTCTAGCTGCCAGTATCACAAATCTGTTACAGTGCTTGACATGCGCTGTCGCTCATTAAGCGATCTGTACTAAACTGGAATCTCGCCGGAGAGTCTCTCGAGAGTGTGTCTTGATAGACTGCCTGCCTGTCGTTGGCAGTGCGTGCTTGTTATTGTTCGCCTGCCCGTCAGTCCGCCCCCCAGACTTAGTCAGACGGCTTTGACAAGCAAAAAATGTTTGCTCCAGCTCCAATTGCTGTGCAAATTTGCATACAAACTTTGACGATTTACAGCCAGAAGCAGTGCAAATGTTTGTTGTTGTTATTGTTGTTGCTCTGCTGCTGTCAGCTTCCTGTCTGAATGGTCATGTTTTGGAGGCACCTTTCCAGGTCGGCACACGAGTGCCGGACCAGCTATAACACTCCGTTATTTATGCCCATGCGAATATATTATCTAATTAGCAGTGGCTAATCATAATATCATATAAATATAATTAATACGCTAACTCTGTACTCAAAATATAACTCACGGAATTGGAAAGTTCAACATTTGCGCATCTAGCCAAGCACCCCTTTGAGCTCTTGTGCAATTGCCCAAGTGCTAAACAATTTCACTCAACACTTTTTAATGACAGCTTCAAGTCGGCTGATGCCAAAAATTCCACTGCGTTTGCCCCGCTATAATAACTTTATGTTCATGAAAATTGAGTTAACTAAAACTACAATAAAAGAATAATTAAAAAATAAAACAAAATATTTGCACAGAACTTGAATAATTTTAGATCGGATCATGTTTTTTGTTTTATTAAGTCAAAGTCACGCAGAGTTCAACAAAAATCAAATATTATTTATCAGCTCTGTTTGGAATTTGTTTGCTAATCGAATTTAATTTGCAGAATTTCGAATCAAAATTAAAATGCTTGAATATATATGCCTTGTTTTAAAGAGTTTTACACTTAATATGCGAGTGAATAAATTCAATTTTTTCAACTATTTAATATACTAAGTATATAAATTTCTAGCGAATTTAATTGAACAACCTTTTTAGATGTCAAAAATAGTCAAAAATACATTTAATACGCAAATTTAGCTTTTAATTTGCTTATTTTTACGCATTAAATACTTAGGTGGACAACCGTTTTCTCGTTTAATACTAATGACTGTCAATTAAAAGAGAAATTTCAAATATAGACCACATTTATCTGACATATTTTAATTAAAAAAAAAAAAAAAAACATTTTTAATAAGATCAGAAATGACTCCAAAATAAGTTGAAATTACAAAATATTAATATATTTTGTGAATTTCTTAGCATACTAGTATTAGAACATTGTAATTAGAATTTACTAGAATATGTCTATGTTTTTATGTTAGAATCTCTGAATGAGTCCGTTTTAATCAGATTTTACGGCTATTGCAGCACTCAAGCAATTCTCTTGAGCAAGGTTTTGATAATGATTTTAATATTAATAAGTAATAATAATAATGATTGTTATTAAACACTTTTCTTATCCTTTCTAACACATTAATTGCAAACTCATTGTGACAAGCTATATTTGAAACAGTTTCTCCCTCATATTCCGATTAGCCCATGCCCTAAAACTTACTTGCGCCCTCTGCTTCCGCTTCCTTTTTGTTTTCCCCTGAGGAACCGTTAACGTTAACTGTCATATTTCCTTTATTTCCGCCACAGCACAGGAACTTCATGTATTTTTTTTTAATACTTATATACAAATTATAAGAAATATAGCGCGAATTTGTTATTTAAATTTATTTGGGTTTTATTTATTTTACATTTGTTCAGTTGACAGCTTGTTGATGATTGTTTTTGATTTTTTGCAATTGTTTTTCCTATTGTTTACGACCGTTGCTCGCGCAAATGAATTATTTTTTAGCATCAGTTTAATGTGCCGTAACAATTGGGTTATATTTGCCGCACTCCTCGCACTACTATTGCCCAGCAATTTGCAGGGTATCAATCGTGGGTAATGCGATTGTTTGCATTTTAACTGTTTCGAATGCAAAACAAACCGATTGTTTTTGCCTTTAACTTTCGATAGATCGCTCGGCGATAGATAATATATATGGGCTGGACGCGTCGCGCTTGCAGTTTACAGACCGACTGAACGCTGAGCCGACGCTGGCCGCTCCATTTATATGCCAATCGCGTTCGGCGCTGCCCGCCCGGTGTCGCCGCTTTCTACGCTCGGCCACTTGAACACGCTCCCGGCGAGCGGCGGGCGGCGTTTGTTGTAAGCGTCGCCGACGCTGTCAGCGGCGACGTCAGCATGAGCGGCACTTGAGCGTCACGTTAACTCCCAGCACACTTCTAGCCCGTGGACAGCTGTGGTGTCCGCTAGGGACATACAACTCGAATCGAATCTTATCGGAATCTTCTTTAGATTACACTTTGGACGGTGCAGCCACGAGCAAGTCAACCGCCGGGGACACTGTCTCCGCCTCTGGCCGTGGCCCAATATCAGGTGTCGTCGATCAATCTATAGATATGATCCGGATGCTCTTCATAAAACATCATTATTTACAGGCCAGACCTCTCAGTGTGCTATCTCAATGTACCTATGCATGCCTGGTACCGAAATATCACAACGGAAAATTTATTTCGGGAATACCTAATGAGACTTCTCCGCCTAATGCCTTAGACATGATCTCTGGGCATGATCATGGCACCGTACTTCGGCGTGTTGGCATGCTGCAGGCCAAAACAAGCTGCTTTAAACGCCTCAAACTGGTTGATGGGGCAACAACAATTTGGCACAGCTTGACTACGCGCCTTGGCCAGAAGCAACAGTTGGCCTAAAGCACTTGACGCACATTCCTCAAATGCCGATCATTTAGCACTTGACATTCGACACAACCGCAGACTTTTACTTTCTTTTCCGATTAGAACGGAATCATTTAGAATGGACTTTTCACAGCTGTGTGTTAGCCGCAGCAATAGTTGGTTTAATAATGATTGGAAATTCTTAGCCACGTATAGTTCATGCCTGGGTGCACCAATGGAATTCTCATTGTTATGTCGACTTTACACCGACTGTGTGTGTTTGTGAATGTTTTTGCCCTTTTTGTTTTATTTTTTGTTTTTAATATAGTTTTTATATTGTCAACACGCTGACGACGCTTTTGGAATTTTATTTTAGACAATAATTGAATTTTATTGCCCGTTAACTGACAGCAATTGATTTTTTCGTAAACTAAAACTGCATTTCCCAGTCATTCAATTTGATCAACTGATGACAGCAATGCACATACATATGCACATACATATGTATTTGCATTAATTCAAATGATTCAGATTGAAATATTACCATAGATATTTAAAAAGAAAAAACCCCATTTATTAACAATTATCAGTTAATTATACATAGACTCGAATAGTATCTCTTAATTTCCAGAAAGTTTTTTGCTCATTATTATTTACACTTTGTGATTAATGAAAACTAAATCTATCCTTGCTTTCATTTGAGTTAAATTAATATGAAATAAGTATAACTCATTTAAAGTGAAGTAAGGAAATCTGAAAGATAGTTTTATTTATTCATCCCACAGCACTTTTCTCAGTCAGCACTAATCAATTAAAAGAAAGAAATCCCTGATTCAATCATACTCTTAAGATCAAACGACCGAGCTCACAAGTTCTAAAATCTGCTGTAGAAACAGCTGCTTCATTTAGTTTAGTTCCGGCTGTAGATTGAAGATTTATGAGGCTCGTGCCAGGCACTCAACTCTCAGATTTTCGCTATATACAAAATATAAATCAAAAATCATTAGAAGATGTTAACAACCATAAATCGTAGACCAATTGAATAAAGACGAATACATTTTGTGCATGCCTGCAACCAAATGATGCAGCACTTTCCCGTACTCGAAAAACCCAGCCACGCTATGCTTTAGTACTTGCACTTGTTTCTGTAGCTGTATCTGAAGCTCTAACTGTACTCTGTAAATATGCATCTGTGCTAGTTGAGGTACATAATAATGATAGTACGAGTTGTTTGAGCCGTGTGTTTAGATTCTTTTTGTTTTGCTAGCCGTAGTGTTTAGGGGCGATTCGGCTCGAATATAATTACCGGGGCAAATGCAATTGCATTTCAAATTGGCCCCTGTTCATGTTCGGTTAGACATACGTGCATACGAGACAGCAGACGCAATTATACTATTGACATATTTTATACAACAACTAAATGAACAGTTGCAATGCATTACATTTATTTATTTTACGACGTGTCTCCCGCATCGCATTGTGCTATATAACCCAAACCAGCTCATCGCATTTTGTCAATATTATTCCTATACCCTATATTTAAAAAAATATATCAAAAACGGGTATCTTAAAGTTAGCCATGACTGTAAAAGTTAGCTTTAACTACATTTTCTGTTGCTCAAATCTAAAAAATACAATTGTAGCTGAACATTTAAAGATATAACTGAGAAATTTGGCTTACACACACACTCCATAATATTCAGCTAATTAATACCTAAGTTATTTAAGCAATTATTTATTGAGTGCTAGATATGAGCATTGCTCTGCGTACAGGGTATTTTCGAAGCAAGCGCTCTCCATTACGCAGTTCTATCTTGTTTCAGATATGCAAAACGAGCCGTTGGCTGAACTTGACCAAAGCCAAAGTCGGCTGGCCAATTTAGTTCCTTAATTTTACTTGCCCGTCGTTCACATGTAAATTCAAGTTCAAGTTCCCAGTTTTAGCCACCCGCTCAATGGAAACTTAGTCGGGCAAAATTGGGGAATATCGGTATCGGTATTACTCGGTATTGTGAGCACAGCGTTGTGCATGCTAATTACCATATGATCGCCGATTTCGACCAAAAACTCCACAGTTGAGTCGACGCTCAGTGACATTGATTAGGCGGCCCCCTCGCGCGCTCTCATCATAAAACAAAGCCTAGGCCAAGCGATTGCTTAACTATTCAGATAGCGATTCCATTTTGCGATTTTGGTCTGCGGTCTTTCAACCGAACCTCATTACGTATTTACGTACATTGAATGGGGAAATTGGATTTAATATGCGATCGTTAATATATATTGTTATCTGTATTTATTCTCTGGGGTTTCTAAATAGCTGTATGCAAATTCAAAAAGCATTCATAAAACTATTTTTAATTGCTAATCGGCAGGTTGTAGAAATAAAACTGATTACAATTCGTTCCGTTCATTATTTATATTTAGTCTGGGTTTAATTTAAATAATTATGTTTATTTTTGTGCGAGCTTGTGATCCACCAAATATACTTAGAAATGGAGCATATCATCTTGCAAATATCACATAAACAACTATGCCACGCACAAAAACAAGTATTATCGAGTACATGTTAAAATGTTTCAAAAGATATCAAAAATGTTACAGCCATTGACGCGCGAAGTGCGTCTATTGTCTGTCAAGTAAAATGTTTATCGATAAAGTCGTAGTAAAGTTTTCTCTCATTCAATGCTAGCAAGAACCTAAAGAGAATGTCCAGCATTAGATACTCGATCTAAAACATGAACTGAAAAAATCAAGTCCATGAACTTTCTCTTTAATACACCCTACAAACCTGAGTTCTTATCTAATCAGTGAATTCATAATTTAATTATAAGCCCATCAGATAACGATTTATTAGTAAAGTCATAAAACACTTGTCCCTATCGGTTGTGTATTGGCTTAACAGCAAAAATAAAAATAAGACGTTGTACACTTTGAGAAAAACAACAAAGGGAACACCAGGTAGTCCGCAGAACTGCTGCGATAAGCCGAAATGGGAACGAGAGCGAGGCGAGCTTAGTACATTATCAGGCACTCACAGCTGCTCTTTAAATTGGCCAGTAACTAATTAGGCGCCCATTAAAATACCTTTCCGCACAAATATGTGAGCGTTAATTGGGTTTAATTTGTTTTATTTAGCTTTGCGTATGAGAAAACTACCTTTTGCTATGACAAACAAAAAGGTGTCAATGCAGTTCAATACAGCTCCAAAGTTCGCTCTTGTTGCATATCTTAGGGCTGTGACCAAAATTAATTTATAAACACTTTAAATACATAAAATAGTTGGATGGTAAAATACAATTAATAACAATTGTAGAGTGAGCCAATTTCAATAAAAGACAGACACAATAATGGCCAGAAGGGATTCGACCAATCGAACAAGAAGGAGTTTCCCATTCTGGGGAGCTGCTCAATGCAGCCTTCCAAACTCCTTAGTCATCCAGGCATTGTAAGGTTTAATCAAGTTTAAAATCAAATATGATTATATCTATCTTTCATGTATGCGTATCTCTGTCTCTGGACTAGAGATTCGCATGGACCTTGTTTTCCCCCGTCGGCTACAATAAAAACAATGTCAGCAGGCATAAATTTCGAATCAACAATTAACAAAAAATCAAATCAGAGAGTAAAATTAATATTGATATTCCGATATCGGGTTAGCAAAATATACAGTAAATGTGAATATTCCTAGTTTTGAAAGAAGTAAATAATTTTAACTTTTATATTCTCGACCATGATTTGCCGGGCTGGACCGTACCTAGGTAAATTTTCCCAGGTGCGTGTTCGTGCGTGTTAAAGAAAGTTTGTATCGTGTTCGAGAAGGGTCGTGCCATAAAAACCCTCGCCCAATTCCACTCTAAGTATATTGCTCTGCAATGAGCCATTAGAAAATTTGGCAGCTGTGTTGCCTGCCCAGCTGCTTTCTATGCATATTCAAGTCTCAAGATTAAGTTAACACGTCCAGACAGATCATGCCGCTTGTGGCTGAGAATTGTGTTACTAGCCGTCAAAATGTAGATGCTCTTAAGAATCAAGATGAAAGTTGATTTGATTTCAAAATTAAATGCATTTATTTTTACTCTTGCAATGTCAAAAGCTCATTGCAAAACGAAAGACTTAGGCAACGAACTGAAGTCATATGTGTGTTGTGAGAAGTAAAACCTGTTTAATGTTTAATCTAATTTTATTTGTTTCATTTTTTACATTATATTAATGATTTATTTAAATTATAGAATCCCTTCTGACCGCATTAAACCAAGCTGCAGTAATGGAACTCCTAGCTTCTCTTGTAGGTAAGACAATCTGCTGGCCGGCTGGCGAATATTGTCTATCCTATTTTTTTTATTTCTGCAGCAAAAGTACAGCCTTTTACAGTCACACAACATTTTCGTATCTATCCTTGCGAAAAAACATAAATCAAATTTTTAGTCTAGAATATATAAGACAATTGATTATAAATTCATCCAATCAAAGGCAACACACAGTTGATAGACTAGAAACTTAACCAACCAATCAGAGAAGGCCTAATTTACGTGTTTGTGTATTAAAAGGTAGCACACTTTTGGGCGGCCATAAAAAATTAACTAACAATAATAATAAATGTTTGAAAACTTTAAGATGCAACTTGAAAGAAAGAAACAAGCTTATAACTACTGCCAGCTTGAATAATATACGTATGTTATTCTGACAACTGAACAACGAGAATCCGGATGCACATGATTTTACAGGCTAGTATTGTAACAATGGTATTTACAAAATAAGTTGGATTGATATTTTATAGCAATTATTGCTAGGATATAAATCTCCTATGCAGTGAATAATTATAAAATGAATCATTGCAATAATATATGCACATACGAACTAATTGTATAATGTTAACGCTAAGTGTAAAGTTTCGAAACATGTGTTATAGTGCCTCAAGTAAGATATCTGGCACTTCTGACAGTCTGTTGCAGTGTTGTTAACACACAATTAGCAGGGAAAACTAATTAGTTAAAGCAGTTTGAAAGCAAGTATTCAAAGACAGACATATATAAATACTAGCTGGTATTTCCCAGCCCCGTCCGGTACAAGATATTTGCTTCAAATTTTAGAAATCAAATTTCGATTTTCGTTCATACAATCTTCGACTCTCATTTCTGTCGTGTTATCATGGATTTTGCGAAAAGTGATGATTTTTCAAGCAGATCCTTGAAATGGAATTCAAACCGAAACATCATTCAGCAAATCGTTGACCCCCCTTAAAAATGAGTTTGAGGCCAATGAGATGGTAAGCAAACAAACTTCAAACAAATGTTTTTCTCGATTTTTCCGCGATTTTCCAAAGACCTCGTCTCAGCGTACGCCTTCCTCACATATGGCAAGTACAACAAAAATTTCAGCTTTCTTTTTCTTACGTTTTGAGCTGTGCATTGATCACCAGTGAGTCAGTCCGTCAGTTAGTACAATCAATTATATATATATATATATATATATATATATATATATATATATACTTAACTAAGTACTGAGTAACCCGCTCTGAAATTAAACTAAATGGGACTCAGCTGATTCTGTTTATAGACATTCTCTTGATACAATTGCAAAATGATTTGGGTTAGCAAATGACAAAGCAGAGCAGATAAAGTGAATGACTTAATAATAGTTTGTTGGTAAACAAACAATACAAACACCAACACAAATATACGTAGCATATGATCGTGGAACAGGGAGCAATATTTATTGAACCGGCGGCTGACACTGACAATTCTTATCAATGTGCAAATACTGAGCGCAGGGCATTATATCAATCGATTGAACCAATTGCGATCTGATTCAATTTTATCAGATGGCAAAAACAATTATTAAACGCTTTTCTATAATTGAACTTGGGCAACCGACTGATTAGATAGCTAGAGACCTGCCCCCTTACAATAAGCTGGTCGCGTGCCAAGCCTCAAGATCTGGCCATGACACACAGGCCAGAGAACACAAGCTGGCCCTGAACTTAACCCACTTGTAGGGGGCACGTAATGCAAACAGAACCAGGCACTAAGCACAGAAATAGCGGCAATATGTCTGACTATATAAACATATAGTATATACTTTTAGCCTAGTATCAGTCGATAACGGAATGTTAGTGGCAAGCCAAACAGCTGCGACAAATGTTTTGCCAACTGCTCTTAAAGCTCGCACGCTTGCTCGTTGTTTCTATCTGTACGTCGACTCCAGCTCCAGCTGGCTGGCACCAGCGAAGATATAGGGGCTTATGCCAGAGTGTTTCGCACTAATATACATATAAATGTCAAATATATTTTAAAGAAATTGTCAGATAAGATAATGCAGGGGCAATAGAATCTAGAGTGTAGACTCTTGACTTTTGAATGGTTGGTCGAGTGTCGAAATCCGTCCCATTGATTCGTAGCAACAGGAAAAAAATACAAACAATTGATTTCGAAATCTATTAATATAATTTACCTAAGCTCACATTTATGGCCTTATAAATAAAATAAATTACAACCTGCTTATTTGTTAATACTGATAAATAAAACTAATTGTTCCCTGTTTCCGCCGCTGCTCAGTCCATGGCTTTTGCCGTATATCTCTCAGGCCAGCTGATTTGCTGCTCCAGCACTGGATCAATGGGAGGCGCAATGGCCGGAGCAGGTGCACGCTTTTCACTGCACGTCTCTGCATCTTTAGGCGTCAAATAATCATCCGCATCCCAAGGCTGGGCCTGCGCCGTGCCCCAAATGAGAAATACGCAGTTGCCCACGAAGAAGATGACGGCGGCAATGCCAAACACAATTTGCCACTGGCCGCGATCATGCTGGAGGAGAGTAGAAGAGCACACAATGAAGAAAACTAATCGTAAACTTACTCAATGTTCCCCCCTACAACTTACCTTGTCCACAACAATAACGCCAGCTATGAGGGGCGTCAGGATGGGAATCACATTGGCCACCGTATTGCTCAGGCCAATCAGGATGCCCGCATGATTGGGCGACAGATCGATGGTATTCAGGGAGCTGCCAATTGTGGCGCCACTGTTGACGCCCACGCTGACCGTCATCAAGGCAATGGCCACATTCGAATGGTCCTCGCCCAAAAATCCGATAACAATCAACGCTGCAGCGGGTATCCAGAAGGAGAGCGTATTGAAGAGCTTCCGCACCGCCGTTAGGGACAACCACTTGCGCTTGAGCAGCACATCGGCCACAATCAGATAAACGTAGGAGAGCAGCCACATGGCCAGGAAGGGCAGTGAGGAGAAGACCGCATTGCTCTGTATGTCCATATTCAAAACGCCGTTCATATACGACGGTATCTCCGCCTGCAGCGTACTAAGGCCCCATGTCTCGGAGCAGCGGGCCACCAGCAGCGCCAGGAAGGGCACGGAGCAGCAAATGGCACGCCAGGGTATGGGTATGATGCGCTCATGGAAGTCCTCGTTGTGCTGCAGCGAAGATTCGATATACTTGCACTCTGCCTCGCTGATGAAACGCGACTCGGGCGCATTATTCGCGCCAAAGATGAGCCAGAGTATGCACCAGGCGCCGCACAAAGCGCCCGACACGTACGAGATGCCCGGCCAGCCCATGGCGCTCTTGGCTATCATGCCGCTGATGAACATGGCCAGCACGGTACCACAGTCCGTGCCCGTGTAGCTGAAGGCTCCCAGACGATTGCGCTCCTCCGGCGGTGACCACATGGCCAGATGCTCGTTAACACACGGAAAGATGACGCCCTGGAACAGACCCTGCAAAATCCGTATGGCACAGAACACTTGCCAGCCGCCCCAAGAGATGCTCCAGGGCGTAATCAGGCTGAACACGGCTGTGCCACAGCTGGCTATAAAGAGCACTATCTTGGGGCCAAAGCGACGGCACAGAAAGCTGCCCGGGCAAAGGGTCAGAATGTAGCCCCAGTAAAAGCTGGAGAGTATATACGATTTGTGGCGTTCTGTCCAATTGTATTCCTGCATGCACATAAAATCCAATACGTCAGCCATGCAATTATATTTTGATGCACTGTAAACTTACGGGAAAGTTGGGATTCGTAGATGCAGCATTGGTCATTGCGACAATCGCCACGCTGACATTCAAGCGCGCAATGTGCATGACTGTGAGGCCTAGAAAGAGCAGCAGCGACTGTACATGCCGCAGCCCAATCCGTGGCCCCTTGGGCACCTTGCTGAGGCTAGTCATGGTGTGTGGCTTACTAAATGCTTTCTCTTGGAGTTATTTATACTGTTTTTTTTTTTGCTTGTGCACTCTATTTGCGCACCGCTTGTTGTGCGGAATGGTTCTGGAGCTAGTCGCTACTGTAACGGCGACTTTTATAGAAGCGCACAGTGAGCTGACTTCTCGGCTGGCTATGCGGCGCATATCATTCACATTTACCCGGGAGAACACTAATTAAATAAACAAAACTGCTCTTGACGCAAATCCCAGTAGCTCCACAGGCTAATGACGTTCGCATTTCTTGGGATCTATTGTTTGGGCATTATGTTTATCTTACTCCATTCAATTCGGTCCGATCGGCTTCTGTTCAACAACAAATATTGATGGGCTCTCTCTCTCTCTCTCTCAAAAAAAAAGGGGGTAAATTATAGAAGTAAAGCAATGTGACGTATCATTTGAAGCGAGCTGTTTATTTTGCATCAAGATTTATGACTGACTGCGCTTCACTCTTTGCCAACAGCTGTTGCCACAAGCCGAAGCCACATGTTGATACTCAAAGTCGAGCCAGCGAGTGAATGAATCTTTTTGAATATTCTTTATGATTTTAATCAAATTGCCCAGCAAATAATAATGCGTTGATAAGCGATGCTACTAGCTAAATAAATAATAAAAATAATCGATAAGCTTTCAAAATATTGCTAAAAACAAAGACAAAAAAAAACACGAATTATCAATTGGCTCGAGTGGCATACACTGTACAAAAATCTAGGTTTTACTTTGTAAAATCTACATGATTGCATCTATTATAAATTATATAAATATAATATACATATTTTCAGTTGTGTCTATATATAGTTTGTTAACCATTTTGATTATAAAGTGGTATTATTTTTAATTAAATTAAATTTCCTCAAACTTGTGCTCCCGCTCCTTTTTATTTGCTACCTACTTTTTTTTCTCAGTGTACAACTGAACCACTTATTGGCCATAAAGAAACTCTGTCTTGCAGGGGAAAAACAATAGCAGCAGTCAAGGAATATTATTTATAACACTTTATTGGCTCGCTTTAAATAAATTAAAGCTGAATTGAGTTATCACCAGACCGAAAGTCGTGCGATTACAGTAGGCGACAGAAGGAAGAAAAGACACGTCAAACTTGAAAGATGATTAATATTTCCGCCATGCGCGGAGAGAATTCTACACAGATTTGTTTCGCTATGCAACAATAACTAAATAAATGATCATCTGCCAAAATATTTTATTAAAATGATATATGTCTTAAATGTGAGAGAAAATATGTGTTCGACTTTCAGGTATGCGAGGCATAATTGGCACAGGCCTATATTATCAATAGGTTAGATTGAAAATATAAAGGTCGAAAAATTCAAAACAAAAATCATAAATTAGGAAAAACCCCTTGGGGTTTGCTTTATTTCTCTATAACTCTTATCTACTTGTCCATATTGCTCACTAACAAAATGGAATGCTGTTGAGTATATATGGCAACTGTTGAGTACATATAACTTTATTTCTTGACACTCCTTGGCTTATCACTTTAGTCAATTGCCAAATAAAACACTCGCAGATTTCTTTTGGGTTTATGATGTGATTTAAAATAATACTCGTTCAAGTCAATTGCTAGCAGATTGCGGCCTATCGGTTCCGGTTAACTGCTGATCGTCTTTTTCGATTCGGGTTTTTCGCTTAAAGCTGGAGGGTTTGCCAGCTCGGGCTCGGGTCGTAACAGAAAGTCTTCGGCATCCCAGGGCTGGGAAACAGCCGAGCCAAATGCCAAGAAAATGCAATTGCCTGCAAAGAATATCACGGCAGATATTGTGAACACTATTTGCCATTGAGTGCGATCACCCTAAAATAAGTAGAAGAAGGAACGATTAGCACACTTGAAAATATAAAGATAACTATTAAATAAAAGCTTACACTATCTTTGACAATCAGACCCACGGCGAGTGGTGTCACAATGGGTACCACATTCGCGGCTGTGTTAATAATGCCCATGAGTATGCTGGCATGGTTGGGCGACAGATCAATGGAGTTCAGAGAGCTGCCAATGGTGGCTCCGCTGTTAAAGCCCACGCTAAGAGTCATCAATACAATGGCCACCGTCTTCTGGTTCACATCGATAGTGCCAACGCCAGTGAGCGTAGCAGCGGGTATCCAAAAAGCCATCGTATTAAAGGTCTTACGCAGGAATGTCAGTGTCATGCATTTGTTCGTGAGCAGCAGATCGGCACAGACCAGATAGACATAGGACATAACCCACATGGCCATGAAGGGCAGAGCAGAGAACAGCGCATTGTCCTTAATATCCATGTGCAGCACTCCATTCATATAGGCCGGAATTTCAGCCTGCAGCGTACTTAGGCCCCAGGTCTCGGCGCAGCGTGTCACCAACAAAGCAATAAACGGCACCGATGTCCAAATAGCTCGCCAGGGTATGGGAATGATGGCACTGTGATAATTTTCTCCATGCTTTAGAGATGATTCGATGTAATTTCTCTCTGCCTCGCTTATCAGACGGGATTCGGTGGCATTATTGGCGGCCAGAAGGAACCATAAGGTGCAGCTGCCAAAGGCCACTCCAGCGGATACATAGGATATGCCGGGCCAGCCCATCGGTCCCTTGGCTATCATGCCGCTCACGAACATGGACAATACATTGCCGCACTCGATGCCCGTGTGACTCAGTGCGCCAAGGCGATTGCGTTCCTCTGGCGGCGACCAGCGCGCCAAATGTTGATGAATGCAGGGAAAGACGAGTCCCTGGGCGCAGCCCATGAGCACGCGAATGCCACAGTAGCTGGCCCAGCCGCCCCAGCCTATGAACCAGGGCGTGAGGGCGCTGCAGACGCCCGAAGCAAAGGTGGCCCAGAACATTACACTCTTCACACCAAACTGTTTACACAGGTATCCACCCAAAAACTGAGTGATGATGTAGCCCCAAAAGAAGCTGGACAGGATATAGGATTTCTCCACCTCTGTCCAGTCGTATTCCTGCAGAAGATAAACTAATTAAACGAAGTTGTGGAATGGGGCATTGCTACTTACGGGAAAATATGGATTAGTGGACTCCGCATTAGTCATGGCCACAACAGAGACGCCCACATTAAGACGTCCAAGGTAAATAGAGGTTATGGTTATAAATATTAGCAGCGCCTGCAGATGACGTATGCCCAAGATAGGACCTGAAAAATATGATTTATTAATATGGTAAACACCCAGAGGCCTTTATAAATAATCTGACCACGTTGTAAAACATTCGCGTGCCTTGACACTTATCAGTCAGTTAGTCTGAATAACCAGACTAGTTTTTATTTATGGGCGATTTCCTATTGCGTGTGGGCTGATTATACGCAGATTATAATATTTATGACAAAAGCAATATAAAAGGTGTTAGATTTCCAAAAATTCTTTTTCAACACTTGTTATTATCATCCTTCACAGAAAATAAAAACAATTTAAGAATTTAAATACTAATGAAAGACTTTGCATTCATTTTTGGACATTTCCAAAGTCGGCTAAAATATGCCCAACAAAACGATTTTTTTTATATCCAGATAAACTTTGATTGATATGAGTTAATCACAGAAACTAAATCAAATATATTCAGCCACTTTCTGTTTCTTTTTAAATGCTTTTGGAGAATTGCGTACCTTTTTAATTAAATCTCAAGCTATGCAGTCCTTACCTTTGTTTACCTCCGCGGTCATTTTGCCCGTCAGAGTCCTTGATCCAATTATATAATGAGTAAATAGTTAAGTTCTCCAGAGAGCCACCAGTTCTTGACACGTTCAATCTGCACTACTGACCACAGCCGAATAAATCGAGCTAATGTTAGTTCAACTCTTGACACTTTGCCCGAGCGTATCTAAACTGATTAGCAAGCATTTTTGGTTAGCTTATCAGCATTGATTATCCAACGATAAGGCCGAACACGTGCTACAAAATAACCAGAGCCCCATCGAGACACATTTAAAGAAAATTGAAAACAATGTACGGCAATAAATGAAATATTTGACCTTCAACGCAATTACCTGGGTGAGAACATTGTTTGCTGACCTATACCAACAGAGGAGCAGCAGCAGTTGAGAAAGAGCGAGAAAAATCTTGTAGACTGAGGCTCGAGCACAGCCCCAAAGCAATCCATATAAAAATAGATTATTTGCAATTCCCAGGCCTATCAAAAAAAAAAAAACAATTAATTCGTTTTAATCCTATCCATTCGTCCCTTAGATACAATTTTCTAAGCCACTTCCCAGAAGTATGCATCTTTTGTCGTCCGCGCAAAAGTATGCAATGATTTTGCGCTGTAAAATATTTGTATTTCATAAATGAACAACTAAAGTAGAAAGTGTCCTTTATAGCCGTATTTCTCCCATTTTAGATAGATTGTGTCAAATATTTGAATTGATTTCTATTTTAGACTCAAACATATCACGAATAAATAAAATTAGAATTTTTGAGCAAGCGGATGCGATTAATAATTCGATTTTATTGAATGCAAGCCGATTATTCAGACCTTCACTAGGTGTAAAAATCATAACTTTTCCAGCGCTTTATTCTACATTTTCCAACACTGCTTCTATTGCGGGATCTTAGAATCTAGACAGGGTAGGGTTAAATTCAAATTCAGAGGGGAAATAGTTACGTCGCCTCTACCAAGAAAACCCTGAGTGTATCTAGATGCATATGTTTTGTGTGTCTGTTTAATTATTCTAGTCGACCTTCGATAGATTCGGATAAGAGTCTGGATTCTTTACTACAAAACCACGAAATGTGGATGATAATCGTACGTTAAAAGTTTCCAGGCTCCAATCAACACATTCAATTGAAAGCTTTACAAAAAACATCTTCGAGGAATTTCTACCACATACCAACGTGCGCCTAACTACGTCAGAGCAGATAAAATATATAATTAAAATCAATCAAGTAAAATGTAATATAGCAATAATGAAAAGATTAGCGCCCAAGTAAGTAGCCAAACATTTTTGAAATAACGATAAGGCAACCTCGAAATACGTTTATCTTTAGTATATATTTATCAAATATAGTTATGTTATTTATCTACGACCCAGCCGTGATTAATTCTTAATTGGTATAACTAAGTACTATAAGCACTGCTATTTCATATTTGTTGTTATCACTATTCCACGATTACATGGCCTGTTCAGTTAATAGAACTATGTGGATCCGCTGAGTTTCGATTTGTCGTAATTTTGTTCAAGTTTTACTTCTTCAGATTTATCCTTATCTTTAGCTGTCTCTTGCTTCTCATTTTGCAGTGCCTCGATGGCTTTTGCATTAGCTTTAGCTGCTTGCCCCTCCTCTTGGCGGAGAGGCTCCTTTTGCTGATCGAGAAAGTCGGCGGCATTCCACGGCTGATTTACCATTTTTCCGAATAGAATGTAGAACAGATTGCCCACAAAGAAAATGACTGCAGAAATAATGAAAACCACCTGCCACTCAACACGATCTTGCTGCGAAAATGAATGTGAATTTAGCATATTTTTGGATATACATAATATATCTGGCAAACTCACCTCATTCTTGACAATAATCCCCACAAGCAGCGGCGTCAGAATGGGCACAATGTTTGCGCCCGTATTGACAATGCCCATTAGGATGCCCGCATGGTTGGGAGACAGATCGATGGTGTTTAGGGCGCTGCCAATGGTGGAGCCGGCATTAATGCCCACACTGACGGTCATTAGGACAATGGCCAAGGTCTTCTGGCTGCTGTCCAGAAAGCTGAGGCCAATCAAACTTATGGCTGGCAACCAGGAGGCCAGCGAGTTGAAGGTCTTACGTATGCCAGTGATGGTTAGTGTGCCACCTGTGAGCAAAATATCCGAAACAATGAGATACACAAACGCCATTACCCAGGAGGCCAAATAGGGCAGCGCCGAAAACAAGGCATTGCTCTTCATCTCCATCAGTAGCACGCCGTTCATATAGGCGGGAATCTCTGCCTGAAGTGTGGAGTAGCCCCAGGATTGCGTGCAGCGTACCAAAAACAACGACCAGAAGGGCCCCGAGGTCAGGATGGCTTTCCAGGGCACTGGAATTTGACGCGTTTCTATTGTCTCCTCCTGCTTGCTGCTCGCACTAATCGACGACTCGATGTAATGCAGCTCCGCCTTGCTTATGAATTTAGACTGCCGCGGTGAATCGGCACCAAATATCATCCAGCCAATGCACCACAGTACGCCCACTGCGCAGGAGATGTAAAAGATGCCCGGCCAACCCATGCTGGAGGCGGCTACCTGGCCGCTCACAAACATGGCCAGCAGAGTGCCGAAGTCGAGCCCGGTATTGGCCAGGGCGCCCAGTCTGTTGCGCTCCGAGGCCGGACACCAGTTGGCCAAATGCGCGTGCACACAGGGAAACATCAGACCCTGGAACAAGCCCATGCCGACACGTATCACGCAGTAGGCCTGCCAACCGCCCCAGGGTACACAGAAGGGCACCAGCAGCACGAGCACGGCTGAGCCAATGGTCGATACAAACATGGTCAGCCGGGCGCCATAACGACGGCAGAGCCAACCGCCCAGAAACTGCGTCATAATATAGCCCCAGAAGAAACTGGATAGTATATAAGAGCGCTCCATTTCGTTCCAATCGTACTCCTTGCGAGGATAATTGAGGGTAAGTATTGACCTTATTTAATCCTTAAATACCTACGGGAAAATTGGGATTTGTGCTTTCCGCATTGGTCATAGCCACAACTGCAACGCCAGCGTTAAACTTTGCTATATAGTTGACAACAATCGAGAGGAAAAGCAGAAAAGTCTGCACATGACGCTGACCCAGCATGGGACCTATAAGCCAAAAGGAAATCCATTACAAAATACACTTTAAACTTTGGAAATCAAAGTATAATCTCTTTTAAATTTCTGTTCCAAAGGTAGCTCTTTGTTTTCCTTTTCGAAACTCATTTTATTGCGCCTTTGGTCAAGTCATTTCCTAAAAATATAGCTGAAGCACTTGGGAATTTCTAGAGCTGTGTTCGTAAATTGTAAAGTCTAGAATCGCCCAGTCCACTTGATATATTTATGCATCAGATTAAAACTTGCAAGAGCATGGCTCTATATCACATTGAATCACAATACATTTATCAAATAGCAGGGTTTTTGGGCACTTGTTCAATATTTTTCACCAAGGATCCTAACTTTTCATTACCCGTATTCGTTTCCGCTTTCATTTCGTAGCGCTCGACTTATGCTTGAACCGCGCACGCACCACTCCGGCAAGCAACTCAATGTGGCTCTGGTTGTCAGCTGGCTTTACACCTAACCACCTTACCACCTGCCTGTTAATCGTTTCATACTTTGCGTTAGTCTGAAATCAGAGCACTTCACTTGAAACATACACATACACACTCTGATAGTAAGTATCAGCAACATGCGCACCGAACGACTGATAGGGCATTGACAGCAAATCGAAGAGAAGAACAAAACACATAGCACAGTACGCGAAACACACACGCCCACCCACCCACACACAGTCTTCTCTATTGTTGATAATATATAACATACATATGCAGATGTTGGTCTCTCATTTGAATAGATAATGCTCATGACTAGACAGACGGACGACCCAGTCCACTTGGCCTAAGGCTCAACAGATGATTTTCTAGACTAGAAAGTAAATATGTGAAAGTAATTACATCATTTTCCTCATGCCGCACATTAAATACCCTTTTACATATTGTTATATTGCTCATAACTGCTGATTTTGATAAAGATATTTTAAAGAGTAGAAATTGCTCTATGCAAATCAAAATCTAATTTCTTGATCGATTTATAATGGTCCGAACAGGACGAATTCAACAACTGTAGAGCCCGCAATGAATAGACGTAGTTTAAGGAGAGACTAGTTTGGACATAACTTTCCCCCTCGGATGTTGGTACTGATCAGAAATAGATATATACTCATAAATATGCTTTTTAGACATAAAAAGTACTGTAATTCATGCTCCTAATTTTGCAATTCCAATGAGATATTATAGTCTAGTATGTTCAACTTTCTATATGTTACTTTAATTTATTATAACATCTGTTTTTAATGATACTTAGTAATAAACTAAACAGAATCATTACTGAAGTAATTTAACGTTTTTTTTCATTAAGTGTCTCAAAACGCATGACTAAGTCAGTATCCCCACTTAAATGGCAAAAAATCACAGTTATTGAACAGCAAGGCCATGGATTAAGTCGTAATCTTATCTTTGACGGTCACAGCACTCGAATTCGGTTACCCGGCGTTTATCGACCCTGTGGAGTGAAGCACTTCACATCAATGAATGACAGTATCGAGAAGCTCCCCAAGATAGCTTAAACGAATCGCAATTTGATGTCTTAGCACTTATCTCAATGGGGCACTTTAGCAGATAGGAGAAAGTGTTGCTCAAAGGTGCGAGAATTCCAACTCTCTCGAAGGTGCTATTAATTAAAGCGCGACAAACTGGGTGAAGGCTAATTTGTTTGCTTAAATCGTTTATTAAGGCAATTGTTGCTAAACGTTTTTATTTAACTAGAACAACTTAGAGCTAAATGACTTCTATACGTAAATATTGCTCAGCGACTTTCCTCCTCCTCCTCCTGCAGGCGCAGTATATCCGCCTTGTTGATGAAGTAGTAGCTCGGCTGTCTACCCTTCAGGTCCTTCGCCGTGCGCTTGGCGCCATTTTGAATGAGAATACGGCTGACACTTTCACAGAAATTGGTGCCCAGTGCGTAGTGCAAGACGGTGCGTTCCAACTGAGAGACCAGAGAAGAAAGCAATTGAACGTCAGATATTAAAGGAGTTTCATTCCTTCCGAGAAACGTGGATAGCTTACATTATCCGTCACCTTGAGCGCCTCGGGACAAAGCTGTACCAAGTGCTGTACCATTTCCTCGGATTCCTTCAGCACGGCTATGTGCAGAGCGGTGCGACCTAATGGAGCAGATTGTAAGGAATCCCTCAAAATATCAACTACTCCTAGAACACATACCATAATAGTTTTTGGTCTTAATAAGCCACTTGGCGTTGGGCACTGCGGTCAGCTCTTTGAATCGTTCCATATCCTTGTCACGTATCACTTGATGTAGATCCTCACGTGTCTCTTCCAGCACGCGCAGACTATTCAAAAAGTCAACGAGTGCCTCATGCCGCCGCTCTGCGGCCACGTCCACAATGGACTTGCCGTTTTCATCTTCCACATCCAAAATGTGATCGTAACCCTGCAGTGCCAGCTGTTCAAAGGGCTCCACATCACCTAGAAGCAGCAAGGAATATGAATTGAAGAATTAAATTGACATGAGGCAACTGTTTAGCCTACCCAGCACTGCCTGAGCAAGCACATAGCGATCGATTTCGGCGGCATTATTTGGCTGATTAGCCTGCAGTGCCACGTCCCTAGCCGTGCGATAGAGCTCGTCCCTGTAGGTGACATCAATGCGCGATTCCTCGATAAGCGTGTAGAGCGCGCCACGCCGATGCGAGCGAGCACAGGCAAAGTGCAACATGCTCTGGCCATGCTCATCGCGCTCCTCCAAGTGCTGCACAGCCAAAGCGGCATCCTCATCATCCTCCTGCTGCTCGGCTAGTGAGCGTGCGTCCAGTTCAATGATGTCCGCATGGGGTTTGCCCGTACGACTGCTGCTAACCTTTGAGACGGAGCTGGCTATCGCCGTGGAGTTGGTCTTGCTGCTGCTCGAGTGGACGAGGGCCTCAATAATGGGCTTGCGTTGGCCCATGAATTGCTGCAGATAGCCGGTTAGATAGGCGACGGGATCCTTGGGCCGTTTATTAGCTATTTCCGTCAAGGCCTTGATCAAGGGATCGGCCAGCGCTGAGAGGGGGGAAAAATGGTTTAACAGCTAAAAGCCTTGCTTGTGTGACCTCTGCACTTACAATCCGCCAGATATTTGCCCTGTTCCGTTTTAAAGATGGGATTGCCCTGAAAACTAACTGGCTGCGACTGACCTGCGAATGCAGAGAAACTTTATAAGACACAGCTGAAGATCAGCAATTCTTGGGCACATTCAAAAGTTCAACTAATTTCTGTACACAAAGCGAGAGAGTCAAGTTAGGTTTTTTTTTTGGAACCAAATGAGTCTACGATGAAACTAAAAAACAAACCTTGCAAATAATAATAAAGAACGGTACACATTGCTAATGGGACAAAGGGAGCTGCGGGTTGGAGGAGCAATAGGTACGTACGTGTATCTCATGAGGCCGAAGCTGAGGATGTGGTTGGCGTTTGATTTTGTTTTTTGTTTTTTTCTTTGATTTGTTATGCTGCTGCTTTGCAACTAAATAAACTCTAATTTTATCGATCGATCGAATGCAGCTGTATTTATGTATATATATTACAATTTAATAGTTATTAGTGCTCTTTTTGTTGTTGCTGTTGCTCTTGTTGTATTTACAATACAATTGCCTTGAAATGTATGAGTTGTGCTTTCATTTTCTATCTTGTAGCTTGTATCTTGTATCTTTTGATTCTTGCTTTTTTTGGCTGCGATCAGTTGCGATCTATAATGCTGTTCTTTTTGCGCTTAAAGATCTTGACCAGCATGGTGGCTATATGCTTGGAGTTTGTCAGCGACATATCCTTCTCCAGCGACATTATATTTGTGACAGCCGTACAATAGTCCTGGAACAGCACATACTCCACAACGCCCATGCTTTGCATATTGATCAGCCGCACGGTCAGCTTGGACAGACGATTGGTGACCATGCTGAGGCCACGCACGGAGCACAGATGCCGCAAATTGTCCAGCTCCTTCATCAGATTGGGCAGCTTGACAATTGTGGTCATTTTGAGACCCGTGCCTAGGTAAGCTGGCCGGGATTGCAAATAGCCGAGCAGATAACTCTCCTTGAAGTGCAGCTGTGTTTCCAAGTAAGAGACGGCGCGACCAACGCGCGTGTAGGCAGCGCCCATGTCTGCCGGCTCCTTGCTACTACTAGCCGATATGACACGCAGATGCTCCTGGCAATTGAGCCACAAGGCCATGTTGAGTGCGGAGTTGACGTAGACGCCACGGCCATAGGGCCATAGTGCGCCGTTAAAGGCTGTTGACTCGGCCGCCTGAACCAGATCTTTGGTATCTAACAGTGGTATCATCAGACCCAAATTGCTGAGCTGCTTTGCCACCTCCGAGTCTGGCTCCATAAGCTCCGTCAGCGTATAGTAGCTGCCCGATTCCGTCTCGCCAATGGCCTCGGCAAAGTTGGCCGTAAACATTTTGCCCATCATTAGGCGTTCGGCCTGCTCGATCTGGCCTATGGTCAGATTGAGCGGCAACTCCAGTTGATCCAGATTGCGCGACGCCTCCACAATGCAGCGCGTGACCAGCTGTGATTCATCGTCGAACACAAAGGCAGCCGTATTGAGGCGCTCGCCATTGTCCATGGGAAAGTAGGCGAGTCGCGGCTGCGGCTTGAAGTCCGCATCGATGCTAAGGCAGTGCATGTCCTTGAGCAGCGGCACCAGGAACTCCTGGAACACCACAAACACATCAAAGTCGGGCGCTATGATGCCACAATTGATATCCTCCTCCAGGTGCCGCAGCTTCGAGGTCTTACGCATGGCCGGCCAGAGCACATCGAAGAGATTATGATCGAGCCGCGTCTGCCGGCGCTTAATCTTCTCGTAGACCATGCGTTTGAGAAAGCGGCTCAGATAGCTCGTCACGGATAGCTGCAACGCGGAGGCACTCAAGGGCTTTCGATGCGCCAACGCCGAGGCTGTTGTCCCGCTTAGCAACTTTCCAGACTCCGTGATGACGCTGAAGCAACGCTCCAGAGTACGAGCGATTTCTCCATCCTGGAGCTCGCGGCGTGCGCTGTGCAGATCATCGGGCACTGGTTGTTGTAGTTGTTGTTGTTGTTGGGCAGCGTTGGGTGTAATTGTTGATGATTATCAGTACAGCACAGCGGGCTTGAACACCAACACACACAGACATACACATGGACACGAACACATAGCAGCACAAGAGACTTGTTATGTTTGTGGGTGCGGAGAAGAGGCGCGTGTGCTTAAACAGGTGCAAATATAATAAAATTAGTGCATGTAAAAGATGAGTTTTTGGTAGTCAACCTACAAATCAATCATATTGCAACTAGTAAGCTTATAATCCTATTGGATAGACCCCATCATCTAAGATTCAATAAAAAAAAAAGAAAATAATAGCTGAAACCTAACTCCAATTGAAAATTTAACCCATATCAAATAGCTTAAATACTAGTACGACTTGTGTTTTCAGAAATAAATTATCAGACAGTTTTGCGGACTTGAACTGGAACTTTTTAAGTGACCTAATCAACGTATAATTTCAAGAAAAGTACAAGTTTATATTCGCAGTTAACTATTCAAACTGCTTTGCAGAAACTTTGGCTTAGAATTGGGCCCAATTCAAGCTAAAGCAGGACAGCTATAGTAGCCTTATGCTTAGGCTAAGAGTGAAATTAATATACCATACTTTTGCCCTACTTGTGCCTCAAGAGTCAACTCTTAGAAAACAATGTTTATCTTTCTGCACACATACCGAATATATCATCAATATTATTGATAATCTCATTGAAAAATTCCCGATTCGCCGCCATTTTAATGCGCTCCGAACTGTCCGCGGGAACAACTGCGCGTATTAGCCACCAAAAGTTGACTAACTATACGAATGGAGGTATAAATATGTGAGTACACAACCAGCGAAGGACGCGTGTTGTGTGAGTGGGAAGGTCTGAGTGTGCGTGTGTATGGCCCTGTATGTGTGCGTGCGTATGTGTGTGATGTGTGCAACTGAAAATCGATGCTTGGCGGGCGCAGAGTCAACGAGCCAACCAATCATGTCCGGAAGTTTGGGTTAGCAAACAAAAAACCTATTTAATTATTTTTACTGTGGGTGCTTTAATAACCAGTTGAGTGTGTGTGCCTGTGTGTGTGTTTGTTGTATGTGGTTGTGCGGCGAAATTGCGTGCAACAACAAAACAACGTTAAAGCCATACAGCAAAGCAAAATAAAATTGATTTCAAATGCGTCTGGCAGTAGGTTTTACGAACTGGACAAATGAAAGCCTACCTTGATCGCTGAGCAACTGGTTCTCTAGCTCCTCGGCCCCGAATATGGTCAGCAGTTCGGTGTAGGTGAGCACATCTTTCGATTTCTCCATGTCCACATAAAATTCGGGCGTGTGGCCCAGCTGCGTGTAGAATTTAAAATATTCTTCAGTTCATTTCATATTTATAGCATGTATTGATTCAAGTGCGAAGGCAAGTTCGAGGCCCTACCTTATACTGCGCTGACACTTGAAAGTCAACGCGGGCCTAACTTGACCTATTTCTGGTCAGTGTACATATAATTTCGGGTCGTTTGCTAAGCTGGCATAGACTTAAATGAAGGCGCAGCTGCTGTAGTTCCGAGTAGTAGAAACTAATAGCTCTCGGGTATGTTAAGTATTCTATGAAATTTCCAAGACCTATTCCAAGCACAATAATTGAGCTATTAAAGGAAATATGAGCGAGTATTTTTAGGGTGCCGATCGCTAAATACCCTTGAAAACATATGCGGACAGCTAGTATACATCAAAAAGATATTCTAAATATATTTAAATGTGCGAGAATTTAAAACTCATTACGCCTCAAAGTTGATGGCAAACAACTATGTATTACTTCCCAAAACAAAGATTTACAAATGACATACAAATCAATCTTTGGCCAAAATTTAAGTTTCTTCATTACAAAAAGTAAAGTACTAGCTAAATTTCACCCGAAAATGTTCTGCATAAGGCTTGAGCTATAAATTATGCGAGAGCTATACGTTCTATATATACATATATTTACCTTGTCGAGTGCCTTTGGGTTGGCGCCCAGCTGCGACAGGACATTGTAAAAGTGGCCGTTGTCCTTAATTGTGGCCGCATAGTGCAGCGGCGTGCGTCCGTCATTATCCGTAATTGCCATCGTCTCCGGAAAGCGTGAAGCCAAATAGCGTACAATATCTGGGAATGGGGTAAGAAGCATGTAGAAAACTGTGACACAGCCATGTAGACAGTGTCACCCCCCGCAACTTACCGCTGTGGCCAAAGAGTACGGCGACGTGCAGTGGCGTGGCGCCATTTGGCGATATGTCGTCCTTAGCAATGGCGAACTTCCGGCGATCCAGCGCCTGCTGCAGCGCCAACAAACTGCCGTCACGTGCCGCATCATGCACGCGATGGATTTTCTCCTGCAGACGAGCAAGTACAGCAATCAATGGACAATTGGACATACACAGTAGAGAGAGAGGGAAAAGAGGAAGAAAGGCAGAGAGTAGTGTGAGATGGGAAAATAGAGAGGGGGAGCTGTTACAGACCATATAGCTGGGCACATTGTTGAGAAATGCCTGTATTTCGGGTTCCTTGGACTTTAGGCCCAGCAGCCGGCCACCCTCGCCGTTCAGTACAATCTCGGCCAGCTGTTCCATGTCGCCCGACTCGATGATCTGCTGCAAGCGCGCATCCTGTGGAAAAACAAGGGATAAACTTTGTTTTGGCTGAGAATTAAAGCGACAAGAGTTTGTGTGCGCATGAAGTGAAAGCGGGAAAAGAGGTGCCAAATCTAAAAATCAAGTAAATTGGTCCAAAGGAGACAGCAAATGAAAAAACGAGAGAGAGATAGAGGAGTAGATGTAGATAGAAAAGGGTTAGCCGCTTATACTTCATCATCGACTTCATAAGCTGCCGTTTGAGACTGAACTGTATAATCCTCGGAGGCGCCCTGCACAAAGCCCTCGATGGCCAGCGACGAGGTGAGCGAATCGCCGCCATCATTATCCTGCACCAGATCCTGTTCCGTGTCCAGCTGTTGCTGTTGCTGTTGTTCCTTTTCTGGTTGGCTGGGCGTTGCTGCTATCACATCCTGCAGAGAATTGCGCATTTATTGGTTAGCTCAGCGGACAGCTAGCTTAGAGTGCAACAAGGTTACGAAACACAGGACTAAATACTACGACAAAATGGGTGCCAGGTAGTTGGGTGCCATTCTTCCAGTTCTGTTTGCATGCCAAATGGTGCGTTCTGCTGGGTTTTACCCAAATTTTACAGTTTAACTGCTGCAACATGTCGTATACGTAATATTGCGCATACGCCGCGTGATTGAATTGATTCTATTATATTGTATTACCTTGGGCCACTGAAGATATGATCTAAGCTGTAGTCATTAAATTGTGGTCCAACGCCCACTCAAATGCTAATCGACAAACAAAACGTAATAACTGCGAGTTTCAAATGGCCCACAGCAGGCGCAGCAATTTAAAATTAACTCGGAAAACATATAGTATATATAGTATACGCCTAACATATATCATACAATATCTAACGTTTACAACTGTTCTTGACGTATTGCATGCTCAGTTGCCATTTGGACTTGGCTCCGGCTGACAGCAGAGGCAAGTCGGGCAAACGTCAGGCTGGCAGGATGGCAGCCCGACAGCCAGGCAGGCCGAGAAGGACACATGGCAAGTGAAAGTGAAATGCCAGGACATATGCCGAGTATCGAATGTGCATTCATATGTGTATTTATAGAGTACATATTCTTTGCATTTCTATTATAGAGAGTGTATCTGCGGCAAAACAGCTGCTGATTTCAGCCAATCGATAGGGGAAAAAACAATTTCAGACTTTGGCATTGATTAGATCTATATTAGAAAGGGACAGACATAAACAAATAGAAATGGAAAGTAACACGGAAATACGAGTGCAAAACGTAAACAAAACACACGAGTTGCGTTTTTTTTATTGCTGCTTTTCGAGTCAATATTTTTTAATTTGTTATTGATTAAATTAGTTAGATATATATGTTTAAATAGTATATATATATATATATATGTATTTTGAAAGTAGGAAACACCTGCGTTTACAAAATATACAATGATAAGTTTTGTACGGCATACACGAAATCGGTTTGATTTTTATATAGTTTAGGTTTTATAGCAAGTACTAAGCAGTTGTATATGGTATATTTATATTTAGTATAGCTGTGTGTGGTTATTTTTGTTGTTGAGTTGTTGTTGTTGTTGTTGTTGCGACTACGTTGTTGTACAGAATTAAGGTATTTAGGTATATATATGGTTTAAATTGAGTGCCAGCAGCTGGTTTTTAGTTTTTATACAGTTCACATATCAAAAAACAGTTGAGCAAACGCCACAAAACATCAATCGATCAATCAATCAATCAATCTACTAAACAATTGCTGACTGCACAAGAGTTGGCATTTAAAGCAAGCCAATCTGTACCTCATCGTCGTCCTCTTCCACCTCCTCCTCATGAGCAGCAGCAGCAGCAGCAGCAACAGTTGCTTTCTCTTCTTCTTCTTCGTTGTCTTTGGTTGGCTCTTCGGCAGCTTCTGCTGTGTCCACTTGGTCTTCTTGCTCTTCTTGCTCTTCAGCTTCATTTGCTGCTTCTTGATCCGGCTGCATTTCCATTTCCGTTTCCGTTCCGTTCTCATTCACAATTGCTTCAGTCTTTTCAGTTGCATTTTGCTCACTCTTAGCATCTAATTCGCCATTCTCAACCAGCTCTACACTTGCCTCCGTCTCATCCTCCGCGTGTTCCGCTGCCCCTGGCTCAACCTTTTCAGCATCTTCAGCGCTTAGAGCTCTTGCAATATTCTGTAAAAGTAAACAATTGTCGACTGATTGCTTTCCTTTGTGAACTTTCGAAATTGTAAAAAATATTACTTTTATCTACATGTATCAGTCGAGTTGACCAAGCGCTAAATGCGAGTGTTCTTTGTGTGTATTTGTATGTGTGTACAGTTCTTATTTACAGCCTTGAAAACATTTGTTATCGAATTTGTATCTTCCCCTTGGCAATATGTGTAATGGCAGAGACTCATGCGGGAATCGACTGGATGATAAACTTACGATAGCATCAACACCTCTTAACCTCTCCTTCGGTAAAGGATTGCTGTGCTATCGATAGTATCGCCCCAATATCTTCCCAGCGATACAGATTTGAGAAAATTCAAAATGCTTGCAGGGAATAGTGTGTGTACGTTTTGTGTGTGTTACTTGTGGCGAAAAGAAAGCCGCATCATGGCCGACAATAGCTTACTTCGACAGCGTCTAAAATAAAAAAAAAACTGCAGCTCTTCATTTAGCTAATTGACCCAATAAACTATACAGCAAAAGCGCAAGGTGCAAAGCAGTTAACAGCAAAAACAAAAAAGGAACTCAGGCCGGCGGCCTGGGTAGCTTAAAGGACTTACCTCAGCTTCGCTTTCGGTATCGCCGGCTGTATCGCTGGCATTGCCCTGTGCAAAGGCCGCCGGCGTTTCCGGCCGGCGCTGCTGGGCCAGCGGCAATGCGGCATTCGCAGTCGCTGCCGCTGCCACTTCAACTTCCGCATCGGCCTTGGACAAATCTTCATCATCAATGGCGCTGGTACTGCGTGGGTTGGTTGATCAAAATGCAAAAAACTCTCAAAGCCATGCCAAAAATGTAACGTAAAACGCAGAAGCCTTTAGCTAGCACATAGCTCACGCACCGCCCCGCCCCGCGCCGCACCGAAAAGCTGACCATGCTAAAGGCCAAGTCAATGTCAAGCCGCCCAACACTTACCCATCATTCGTGTCCAATTCGGAGGTGTTCTCAGCGCTGTCGTCCAACGATTTACGACCATTTACAGCGGCCGCCGGTTTAATGTCCAGTTTCTGGGCAAAACAAACATTTCAATTAGCCAAGGCATAGGATCCCCACCCCATCGCCCGCACTCACCTTGCTCTGCTTGCTGCTACTTCGGCTGGTATCACCGCCGGCATTGCTATCGGTATCATCACTGAGTGCCTCCCAGTCGGTGACGCTATCCGGGGAGATGCGCGGCGCCTCCGGCACATAGACCAGAAACGCCCGCTCGATTTCGTGCGGCTTATGGCGATAGTATGAGGGCGTCTTCATTTTCTGCAAGGGAAACGAACAGTGAGAAATAATTTTAATTGTTCCGACATTGCGCCACGTAATCGACTCACGTAATCCTGCGCCTCCTCATCACAGCCGGCCTGGGTGAGCAGCGTATAGCAGCGCATATTGTTCTTGGCACTGGCCGCCCAATGCAGCGGCGTCTTGCCAGTGATATCGATCTCATGTATGCCCTCCGGCCAGAGGCCAATGAGATACTCCAATATCTTGGTATGGCCCAGGCCAGCGGCCTTGTGTATAATATTGAGACCGTTGTTATCCTTGGCGGTGACCAGCGCTGGTGGAACCGGCGGCTCCAGTTGCATTTGCAGCGTCTCCAGGTTGTTATCAATCACCGCCTGATGCAGATCCTTTGTGGCATTCTGCGAGCAGCGGTAACAATTTAGATGATCTCTTTTGCCAGACTAGACTTTCGATGGCTTACCATGACGTGCGGCACGGCGGCCAGGAAGCGCTTGACACGCCCATTGTTGCTAGCCTGCTGGCACAGGCGCTGTCCCTGGCCCGCCCACAAGATGCGCGTCAGCTTGCCAATGTCCTTTTCGTGCATCCAGATACGTATGGTCGATAGCTTCACGGAGAAATCTATTAGCGCCAGGCGCCAAATAAAAAATAAATTCCAATTGCAAGTGCAGCAAAATTAATTTAACACCGACTTTTGAATATGCCAGCCGCCCGCCAATTCCCCCAAAAAACAAATAGCCCCCCAACGCCCTCAAGCACGGTCTCAATTTCGTTTCCATTTTGACTGTTCGTGTTTGCATGCAATTTGCAAGTAAAAGCGAAATTAAAAGCTAAAATTCGCGAGCAAATGCTCAACTTAAAGTCTCAACAACTTTACTATGCCTCGGGCAGTTTTCTTATAAGTTCTTCCGCGACTTTTTGGCAACTTGAAACGCCTTGAAGGTCGCCTTTCAAATTTCCAATGCCGCCGTACGGCAGCCTATTGAAATATTGAGCAGCATTTTGAGAAAGCGACAGCTGCCAACTGCAGCCTAATCAAGCAGCCCCTCCCCCTTTTAGCGCTAGCAGTCACTAACGTGAATCCTTAAGTGGTTGGACAAACAGTTAACAAATTACTCATACGCACCGTCGTTTTCGCGCCGCTTGCGTCCATTTTGGCCCGCCGCCTGTCCATTCATCGGCATGACTGCAAGTGTATCAGACATGTTTTACTTATTAATTATATAAATATATAGATATAATTTTTTTTTTTTTTGTTTTTTATATATATATTCATATATGTATGTACATATATGTGCTGGACTGATTAATTATGAAAGCGCCTCAGAACAAACAGCCTACTTGATGTATTTGCTTGAAGGACTTGTGCTTCGTATTGCGTGTGGCAGGTTTGAGCCACGTTGGGCAACTAACGTTGCTGACCAAAGCAAGGTGTTGAATTTAGGACAGCTCAATGTGTTATTTCTCATTTTTTCCATTTTTTGCCTCATACATAGCGCTTTCTTTTTGTTTTTGTGTGCCATTTTGCCGTGGTGGTCAAAGTGGGCGGTAATTGCGTCCTGTACGCGCTCTCTTGCTTTTTATTTATTTTTTTATTGTGTTTTAAGTAAATAAGTGCCCTATGAGGTGTGTGTGTGTTTGTGTGTGTATGTGTATTGAATGTGTGTGTGCTATTTGCATACACCCTGCTAGCACTTTAATTTTAACGATATCTCTCTTGTATCGCTTTCTTATCTTCCATCGCGATGAAGTGTCTTTTGAAAAAGTTTAGTATAAGCAGATTTATGGCCTTTCGGCTAGCTCAGAAGCATAGGTGTCGCCTGAGTGATAAATTTTCGATAGCAATAACTTCAATAGAATCTACTAACTTTTCAACCCAAACTTTTGTTAAGGCAGAAATGGGCTACAGCAGAGATACCCTTGTTACCCTTGCAATACCTGTGTTATTTATGTGTCTTCCAAATGCACTGCTCGATTAGAGTTGTAAGCGAGTATCCGTGTTCCAATTCCAGGTTAATGTGTAGATTTAGTATTGTACTAACTAAAGGCTGGATTGCGGGCTTAATCCTATATACTAACATATGCAGACGCAACAGCTTTGTGGGGCATATAGAATTTAGGTTAAGTAACGAATTCATTACATATGACATATGTATATATTAAGCTGAAACATTCCTTTATTTGCCCACCAAAATGTAACCTTTGACCAGGCTTTCTATATGTATATTTAGCACTCACATGTAAATGAAGTTGGAGTGTTGGAGTGGCTCACACTGCTTACAACAAAGTTGTGTGGCAATAAAAATGGCAACAATTGCCACGGAAATGGCGCATTAGCGAGTGCCACTTAATGTCGTCGCCAGTTGGTTCTCGGGGCTGGGAGGGGGATGGGTGGTGTTCGGGTAGGTTTACTTGTTGAGCTCCCATTTGGGGCGCACGCAATATGCAAATTTTGGCCATGTCTGCGCTTTGTCACGCATGCTCTTCCCCACACCCCACCCTCACATTCGCCATCCCCTATGAATTATGCGTGCCTTAATTGGTTGACACACACAAATTGTAATTGGCTCAATTAGGTGCAACTAATGAATATGAATGGCTCTCAACGGATGTATTCATCACTTCACTCACCCTTTGGCGGCGACGAATGGTAGTAGAGTCCATGAAATCTGCGTCTTCGCTTTGGTGGCATGCCTTCAAGCAGTTTCCGTCACGTTGCGCTACAAATTCGTTGGCTTTAAAACTAAAGCAGCACAATTTTAGAGTCCTCGACTTTTCACATTGCTCCAGTCGCGATTCAAGCGACACATGTTTACAGATACCACAAATTGTTCACAATCTTTTTTAAAATTTCCGTTGGTCCGTTCGCGTCGTCCGTTTGCTTTGCAAGTTCAACGACGTCTGGCTGACATTTACGATTTTAGCGGTTGGTCAATACGCATTTTACGGTCGGTCACTCGACTATTGCCAATGCTCAGTGGTTGTTGTGGTTCACTTGGCCAAATGCAATGCGCGGATCGCGTGTCTCTGCATTAAATATGAACAGCCTGCATATAGAGGAGGTACTATTTATATGTAAACGTTGTCACCCCAATTTTAAAGCGACTAGCTGGAGCGTGCACAAAACCTGTGCAAGTAGGTAGAAACTTTAAAAATACTCGTAAGTGCCATTTAATTTTAATTAAAAAGTATTACGTATTCTACTATAGTATTTTTGTAGAATAATATTGGCATTTATCTCGGCTAAATGATAACCGATATCAGACAGATTTATAAAATCTACGATTTCCCAACAAATACTTAACCCTTTACTACTTCAGGACCAAGACAACATCTACACTTTGTTACACTTTTTTTAATGCCTATCAACAATAAGGATTGCACTTTATTTCACAAAAAACATATTATATATTGATTTGATATTCTGTTTCGCACATCAATTTACACTTGAAACTTGAAAAACTTTTCATTTATTTACACTTCGCCAATGCTTAACATAGACACTTGAAACAGGGTACACTCTTGTCTATCAGTCAATTTAGGTACTATCTATGACTTGATTGCATGTGAAAGCTAATAGAAAAAACTATAGCATACAACTGAGGGCAACGGTTGCAGCTGGTCTAGCCTTAAACAAAAAAATGATTGCATACTTTTGCGGGCAGTCGCGCCTAATGAAGTAACTAAAGAATTCAATTGCTCGCCGAGCTCCGACGACAACGAAAACAAACCAATTAACACAAATCGATATTTCAAATTCGAAAAATGATCGAAAGTAGAGCAAACAGCCGCGCACAATTTATGAGAGGACTTCAAGGTCCTACGTACGTGGCAAGTGTGTGTTAGCACGTGGCAGGAACGCGATGTGAACCTTTAGCTCGCACACCAACCGCAGCCCGGTGACAAATAGAAATGAAAATTGCAAAATGGGAAATTGAGAATACTAAATGACTAATTGAGAGCCGAACAAATGGCCATTGCGTGTTCAAAGTACAGTACAATTATAAAAAAGACATAAAATACCAATTGACACACTTTTCGGGATGTTCCAAGCTGCGTGCTTATGACGTTGTTGGAAATTACGGAAAAACCTTGAAGCCAAGTCAATTTTCTGGGCTTGTGACCCAGTTCAGCCCGAGCTCCCTTCCCAACTGCACTGGGAAGAGAGAGCTGGACACACCAAAATGTCAATGCCGAATGTCCAGCAATTAGAACGCTTATTAACCACTAATGCGTAGCACTTAAATGGACACCAGCTAAGGGTAGTAGATTTCGATAATGAGTTGGCGCCCCTTTGTTGCTTTATTCATGAGCCAGGTCGCTGCCACAGCCGCTTGCAGCTGGTGCATTGAACTTGCAACGCGCCCGACAACCGCCCGCCAGCTGGTCAAGTTTTCAATGCAAAGGCCAAAGGCTAGCACAGAAATCACTAGACACTACACTCCACACACACTAGACGCAACACATAGGCACATTAAGTTTTTCCTCGAATTTCCGTTGGGCTTTTCTTTTACCACTTTTTTTGTGTATTATTTGGTTGGTTTGCACGGTGCGCGCTTTAGTTGCCGACTGCGGCATATTCAGCATTTTGTAGGTGTTTTTATCTAATTTCTAGCGCACGCACACACACACAGCCTGTCTAGCGCATGTGTATGTGTACGTGTATGTGTATGTATGTGAGGTTGTTGTTGTTATCCTTTTGATATCGAATATTGGTAATGGTTCTGGCTGTTTGCATGCAAACGCCAAAATTGGTAACACAACTGATGAGCAGACGAGTGCTTGGGCATGCCCTGTGGTTGTTCTGTGTGTGGGCGTGGCACAGTGTGTGTGTGTGTGTGTGTGCGTGTGTGGTATTCTTAGCTGCCAGTGAAATGCGTGCATACTTTTGTGCGCGTGGTGCAGCGTTTGTCGGCCAGCCCAAAACTATGCCACATACAATTTGAAAGTCGTTTTTATTTTTATTTGAGGCGCTGTAAAGTAACGAATATTCTTTTGAGGTCACCTGTATAATTATTCTTAGAATGTTAAAGGTCAAAAGAGCGGAGATTTATGTTATTTATAGTATGCTTTAGGCTATTATATATTGTTACCACGCGTGCAACTCATGTTAAACTAGCTGATAAAAAACGAAGCGGCTTGTAAGAACGAATTACAATTGAAAGAAACGGAGTTTCAAATACAAATTCTTAATGCTCCTCTTTTCAGGCTATTTTCAGTCACATCCACACATGTTTATTTCAGCTAATATTCGTACAATTTGCAGCTTAAGATTTACAACTAGACTTAAAACAATAGGGTTGTAATTGAGGACCCTGGGCGGGTGCGGCAGTCTGAGCAGAACGGCAGCCACATAAGCTACATAAACTACATAAAATACTCATATGCATACATATATATAAAAAAGTAAAGACTTATATTTATTTGTTGCTCAGTTCGTCCGCAGAGACGTGTATAGGATTGGATAATTCGATGTTGTCGTAGGCAACGTCTGCAAGAGAAAAGGTAATTAGATGGCCAAATAAATATACATGCAGTTGATTGGATAGATAGAGGTACAGATAGATAATTACATATACAGATACATCAAAAGATGGAGAGATAAACAATTAGACTGTATATATAGATAGATAATTCAATGATAGAAAGATAAATTGACATATCGAGGACAGATAGGCACAGAAAACATATATAGCATATATATAAATAGATAGAGAGAAAGAAAGATAATTAGAGTAGTTTCATATATATCTAGTTCGGTATGTAGATAAAAAGATTTATATAGATACTTCGTAGATTAATGACAGATATAGATACAGATAAGTGCATCATCAAAACTCTTCTTCTAATAATATATATGAATATTTAGACAATTAATTAAAAAGATATAGTGTTGATTAATCTATCCCTACTTAGAGAAGAATGGGTTAAATAAGTATATAGGTATTCAGAGATATATATACAAATAGATATATATATCTCAAGCTAGTTGATCGATTACCCACCCAAATGTTGCCGTTCGAAGTCAATAATACTGCTCACAATGCTATTGAGAAAGTCCTGGGTAATCGTTTCGGTAATGTTCACCGGATCGTAGTAGAGGAAGCTGCGCTTCTGGCGTGGCGTCGCCTCACGTTTGCTGCGGAAGAGCGCCAGGCTGATGTGGGACTGCTGCAGCGGCAGATTGTCCGCACCGAACTCCAGACACTTGCCATGCACACAGTAGCGCCTGCCCACCTGGGAGCAGCGCGTGCCGATAGGAAAGTGTCCGTGGTTGCCGTTCACCAGGTAATAGCGATACTTGATGTACTCGTCCTGACAGCCGACGCGACAGCTGCGATCCGGTTCATCGATGCTCGCCGAGATCTGTGCACCATGGCCGGACAAGCCGCGCACCTTCAGCTTGTACCTGGCGCACGTTTGCTCCGCATATTCGGCTGGGGTTTGCAGCCGTTCGCAGGGCTTCACCTTGTGCGTGCATAACTGTATATTGTGCTCACCCGTTTGCCGTGACCTGACCACCTGGACCCCCTTTGACTCTGTCATGCAATTGGAGTGACAGCCCGACTTCACCTGCCAGTCGGACGACAGCTCCGATTCGGCTATCAGCGAGGCGGAGGCCGGCGGCGGCGCCGACTTACCAAACGGATCCTGGACATTGTAATTGTATTTGTAATCATTGGCGGGAGCTTTCCGTTTGTACGGCTGCGGCTCTTGCTGCTGCGTTAAATGATTGTCCTGGCCCTGGAAGCTGCGCACGGCCACCTCTGAAATGGGCACAAGGATGAGACTGGGAATGGAAGTGGAAGGAGCAGCAATTGCCTTACCATTCTCATAGCGATTCCTGTGGCTTTGAGCATCCGCGTAGCGCTTGTAGCTGACGTTATTCTGATAGCTAGGCTGCTGCTTGCTCTCCAGCTCCGTGGAGTCTCGCTGCGGGCTTGGTGTGCGATACGCGCAGAAGGTGTTGTCAATTTTGAAGAAGTTGCTGGTCGCATTGTCGCAGGAGAACTGCTCGCAGCGCCCGGCAATGCAGTAGGCAATGTCATCCGAGGCATGATGCTTGGCGCGGCAGGTGGTGCCATCCGGAAAGGTCCAACGGCGCGACTTGGTGCCATTGCTCTTGGTGCGACAGAACACCTTGCACGAATCCTCTGTAAGCAATCGAGAACTTAAAATTCTATTTAAAGGGGCTTCAACAGCTGCCACACCCACCAATGGAGGCGCTGAGCTGCTGCCCCTCGCCGGTTAGCTCGTTGTCGGACTTGCGGGCCTGCTTGCACACATGCGTGGCAAAGTCAGCAATAGTCTGGACGGGCACAGTGTAACACTGTTTGGCTATGCACGTCTCGAACTTGCGATCCCGACCCATGCAACGCTGGCGATAGTTGAGACAGCTGCGGCTGTATATGCGCAACCCGGTGCTGCCCTGACGCAAACGCAGTGAGGGTCCGTACAGGCAGCCGGAGTCACAGCCGCTGGCCTCGCCCCAGTCGCTCCAGGTGCTGGTGCCGGGCAGCTCGTTGCCACTGCTCTTGTACTCCTGCAGCAGCTGGCCCATTTTGCTGGACTCAGCGAAGCTGGCGGCGCTGTGCTTCTCATAGCTGGGCTTGGACAGGCCGCTGAGCTGCTTCAGCGAGCTGATGGCCGCCTCCTGCGTGGGACGCAGCACGCAGTAGCCACCGCGACACCACTGCAAATGCCGCACACTTTTTAGACCAAACAGATTTAAGTGAGATTAGCTGTGACGTACCATGCTATCGCCGCACTCGGTGCCCTCCAGCGCCGGATGCGAGGTCCATGTGAGCCGTTCGCGCTGGCAGTGCAAATCGTGGCAAACCTCCGACTTGCTCTGACTGCTCGCATGCACCGAGCTGTGTCCAAACTTGAGCATGCACTGCTGATTGGCATCGAAGCGTTCACCGGGCAACATGCCCTCCGCCGAGTGATCCAGATGCGCCTTGAACTGTCCACGATCGAACAGGCATTCAGCCTGTGGTTGACTGCAATGGGTGAAGGCAGAAGAGGTCGTTTTGATAGTATTGGCAACGGTTTGCTGCATTTGCTTACGCTAGAAATTCCTCTAGATAGGTGCGAGAGCACTTGGACCAGGTAATCTTGCCGCTGCCCAAGGTGGGCGACATTATGTGCAGACTGGGATCGCAGCTGTTTTCCTTGGAATCGTGTCGCATGCCCAAACTGCAAGAAAATGGCGAATCCATTAAGAAATGGAACAATGGAATCGGAGCAATCGAAACGAAATATGACAAACGGAAGCTAGATAGCACAACACGGTAAATGGATGATATTATAGCATATTCTAGCAAAAGCATTTAAAGCTGGAAACCATGAAGAGAACATTGCAAAAGGAGCATTGAAAATTGAATGATTCAAACGAAACCGATCACAAATGGATGGCGGGTCTTTGGCATTGAAATCTTGTGTACAAAAACTCACTTGTGTCCGATTTCATGGGCGACCACGAAAACGCTCTCAAAGTGCTTGCCCTCGTTGATGGTGCAGGAGGAGGTGGGTGTGCACATGCCGGCAACGGGCGCCAGACCCACCACTTGACTGGTAACCTTGCCATTCTTGCCCGTCACATAGAGATCCAGTCCAGTGAGGATGACAGCATGATCGTAGTGCAAGCTGTCAGCATCCGAGGCGGGATTCAGACTCTTCTGCCACAGGCAAAAGTTGCTCAGATAGTTGTCAATGTCGCTGGAGCGACGCAGCTCGGGCGGATCCTTGCGGAAGATCTCCAGACGCTTGAGCACAAAATTGATGCGCCTGCCCAGCGTCGGATGATGATACAGCAGCTGCACGCCATTGATCATGGCCAGCACGAAGCGTATCAGCTGACTCTCCGTATCCTTGGGATAGTTCTTGCTCATGTGCCGATACAGATCGCTGTCCACGAATATCGCCGTCTCAATGTGCAGCTCGTGTGGCACCGGCCAGCGCCGCGGCGGGCCGCCAATGTGCCGCCGACGACGCGGCGTGCCGGAGCCGCCGGCAATGCCAGTGCCATGATGATGACTATGATGATGATGATGACGCGGCTGATAGCGCAGCCGCAACTGCGATTGCAATTTGCGATGCAGCTGTTGGCGCTGCTGTTGTTGCTGCTGCTGCTGCTGCTCCTGATGCGGTTCGTTGAATTCGTCTGCATCGGGCTCAAACTGCAGCTGACTGTCTAACGGTGTTATCCGACTCCCGCTCCCGCTCCCCCCACTCCCACTCCCACTCCCACTGCCGCTGTTGTTGCTCTTATCTAAGCGCGCCTGGTAGAGCACATGGGCCGCCGCCCCAAAGCGTGCCGGCAGCGGTTGAATGACAAAATTGCTGGCATTTTGCTGGAAGACGCCGCGCTGCAAGGTGTCGACAAATGACAGTTGTTAAAGGTTAGGTAAGGCTAAGGTTAGGCAATGAAACGATGGAAATGAGACGTGCCAAGGTGAAAACTTAATATGGAATAATGAAAATGGAATTTCAGCAGCTGGTTCTGGAACATAGAAGCAAGCATATGGAGTATATGTTTTCATGCCCTTGTTTCGCATTCATTTTCATTTCCACGTTCCATTCCCTCTTTTGCTTCATACCAAAAGAAACAATGGAAATGGAACACGTGCTATTGCACATGATAATGGAACACGAAAGAACGCATATTTGTAAATTGGAACTAAAATATTCATGTGGATGTAGTTCAGACAGGCAAGGTCAGCCCAGAGGTTAATTGGCTGAGGTAGGTGCAGGATATGTCGACAGCCTTTAACTTGCCTCAGGCTGGGCTGGTGCGGCACGTGCAGCCACAGCTGTTGGAATACTCACCACACTCTGCGCATCGCACAGGTCGAGGGCCGCCCATGGACTGCGATAGAAGCAGCGCTCCAGACGTTGCAGCAGCTGCGGCGAATGCTCCACAAATTGGCTGCTGTTCGCGTTGCGTCGTATGAAGATGAAATTATCGTCAAACAGTTGAGGCGTCTGCTCCAGCTTCAGTTCGGCTTCCACAGTGCCGGCTGCCAAATGCATTTGAATTAATTAAACTATTCGCATAATGACCGCCAGCCGCCAGACGCAACTGGAGCAGCACGAGCTGCATGTGTGTGTGCGTGCTGTGTGTTGTGTGTGTTGTGTGCTTTAGCATTTGCATCTGTGGCATGCACTACAACTTACCTTGTGCCGCGCCGCGACGCCAGCGCTGATGCTCCCGCTGCGCGCTGCGCCGCTCCAGCTGAACCAATTTGAATTCGGGCGCTGCAAGTCAAACGAGCGAACAGGTAAATACAACAGCGTATGCGAAATATGCATTCCATGAATCAATAATAATAATAATGACGTCGCTCCAAACAACAACTGCGCACATTTCCACGCCTACGCCCCCTGCCACCCCCTCACACGCACACCCAACCACCTGGCGCGTCATCGATGCCTGGCGCACTTCTGACCATCTTGCCGGTTCTGGTAATAATATGTTGCGGCTCGTTTCGACCGTTCTGTCAGCCTGTCAGCATTTGGCATTGATTTTAAGCGTCCAAAGTAGAATAACAGGCGCATTGACACGACTAGAAGATACCCTGTACTCTGCGATGAGCTGCCGTTGCGAAAAACCAAACTTCCTTTTACTACAACTCTACAACTACTTCCATCTGCCCCACTTTATAGGAAAAATAAACTATTAATCTTCTGCCTGTTGCATACGTTTGCTCAAAATCATAATACCCTAGTCAACCCAAGTGCAAGGCATAAACATAAAAAAAAAACTTTCCACAGACCCAAAACTTGTGGCATGCATTCCATTGCGCATAATAATAGCCCGCAACTTATAATATATATATATATATATATATATCTATCTAGGTTAGCTTATGTCAGCTTAGCTAATCTTTCCAATCGGTTGCGCCCAGGCCCTAGAACTTACCTGCTGCCGTGCCAAAGATCAGCGCACGCTCGTGGCCCGCCAGCTGCTGGAGCAGCGCGTTCTCGTCCAGCTGCGAAGAGAAAGGGCAAATGAGAGTTCGGCTTAAATACTTGGCCGTGGTAAATGTGCAAACGAAAAGTGTAACAAGCGCAGTTCAACAAAGCGTAAAAAGAGCAGAGCCATAGCCCCAAAAGGGTTGTCTTCAAAAGTCAGCAACCAAATACCGAAAAACACTTTCACTGCACGCAACAATAGAAAATTAGTTAAGGAAAAACCCCATTCGGGTTTTTCCCCATCTTTCTCTCCGCCTGCTCAGCAAACGCAGTCCGGAAAATGGAAAAATGACCACAAGTCGCCGCCATGCAGCTGCATCTTACGCATATCGTATATCGGTATCGTTATCGTTATCGGTATCATATCGTTATCGTTATCGTTATCGTATTTCGGTCAGTGGCTGCCAATCTTTGGCTAGAAGCTGTGCATACGCCCGTTTGTACTATTATTTAATTTAATTTGTTGTTACATTTGAAAAAAGCGCGTCGCGGGGCAGCGATGCGTGAAGAGAGCTCCGCTGGGCTCCAATGGGCGCTGCGTGCCCAGCCCCCACCGCCTCCCAAATACTTATGGAGGTGAAGGTGTTGCACAAATTGCTATGGTTAACAAAACAATGCTGCCGAAATTGGGCGTGGCATGGGAGCTTTAGATTTATTTCAAATTGAAGTAGGTGAACGATGGAAAAGTATTCGGAGAGTGTTATGTTCTAGGCTCAAAGCTTACAAATATGATCAAAATTGTTCTCAATGGAAATAAATATAAATCTATCCAAATAAGAGAAGCTCTCAGGCTATCCCATTTCCATTCATATGTCTTCCTTCCTAAATTCCTTTCTAGGATAAATTTAGTTAAAAATTTCGATCAATAATTAATCGATAAGAACTCGATTAATCGATTATTTTAAAACCACACATATCGAATATTTAGTAAATTCGTTTTTCTAAACGGTTATCTTGTTAGATATTCGATAACTGTTTGATTGCCAATCGATAACTATTAGTTCACTCAATTGATGTTTATTTGCCTTAATTCATTTCCCCTCACATTCATTCGCTTACCCCTCATTAATAATAATTCTAATAATGGTACCTTATTTGCACAAATAAGCGATTAATTAGAAATTGCTTATCGATAAGAACTCGATTATTCGATTACTTTTCAAGACACTTAACTCACTATTTAGTAAATTGTATTCGTTTCCTAAACACTTGTACACTTGCCCAGTATTCGATAACTCTTTGATGGCCAATCGATAACTATTCGTTCACTTAATCGTTGCTTATTTGCCTCATTTTATTTCCACTCACATTCATAGCCAGCCCATTCATTCACTCACCCGCGCAGCCACTCATTAACTTTGTGTGAGTGCATTCAAACAATGTTCAATAAAACGACACTAATTGGCGGCAAGGGCAACAGCATAAAAGGCCGGTCCATCAATGCCGGAAAAGCACAGCGACAACAACAACAACAACAGAAAACCAACAATGGTGGAAATGGAAGTGGAAATCGCCTGCAAAAGCGTTTAGAGTACTCGAACTCGAACTCGAACTGGAACTCGCATTCGTATTCGCACTCGCTCGTAACTCAACTCTGAGCGCTGTAATCGCTCGCCGGCTGATTATGTGATGAAATTTTGCGTGACCCGTGGATAGCGAAAAAAAAAACAAAGTAAAATAAACAACAAAGAAAAACTACGACAAAGAGCTGAAATTAAGTCACAGAAAATGCTCGGCATCTAGGTGAGGGTAAGCCCTGCAAATTGGCGCTCCAAGAATCAGTTGGTAAAGCAACTGGGGCTTCTCAACTGCGACCAATTGCCCAGCTATGCCCAGCTCATTTCAAGTTGGGTCAATAACTTGGCACAAACTGGCGACGCGCTCAGCTGTAAATTTCGCAGCTGCCAAAAGTCGCGCCACACTTATTGCCCAGCAGCTGCTGACGCGGGAGTTTCTACGTCTGGCAAATCGTGCGATGCATTCCGACAGCTCGTCTATAAGCTATGTGCGAGGGTGGTTCGACAAGTGGCAAATGCAGGCAACGATATAAGAATTACAAGAATTTCCTCTATCGATAAATTGTTCAAGACCCTGACTTGTAATATTGCGATTCTTGTATATAAGTATGTATTAAACGCAGGCCAACAATTCGCTGCAAATTGTCGCCCTTCTATGCAATTCTCATGTACAGATTTTCATGCTTTGCATATGAACAACTATTATATGGCTACCCTCGTCAGGCCCTGGTCAAATTGGGCAGATACGAGCTGCAGAATCGCGCATCGGACTTGTTAGAGACAGTTGGACGCCTTGTGGGTTCAAAATATGTGCTGTCTCTGGAAATATGCTCGGAACGGTGACTCGTCCAACAACTCGTGTAATTTGACTTGTTCGACAAAAGCTTTTGAAGTAAAGTTTTTTTTTTTTTTTTGGGTTTTTTGTGTACTTCGCCAGCTGCTCGTCGGCATTTGGCATTCAATTACAAGTATATACAGAATATATTGGGCGAGCGCCTCTTCTGCGGAGGGGTCATTAAACGCCTCACGTTTCGGCTCCACTTGCTTTAAAGTGGTACACTGCCACGCCCTATATATAGTGTATATAGTGCACATGCTGACGATTCTTAATTAATCACGCGTTTTCGGTTTTAAGCATAGGCTGCACTTTTTCCAGACACAGTCGCCTGATTCATTTGGCTTTGGCTTTGGTTTTGGATTTTTTTTGGGTTAAACATAAACGCCCGATGTGATCTCAGGTGTTCAGGTGACAGCTGCCGTGACACAGAATGCCAAATGGATGTGTGCTCTTCAGTATTTGGTTCGATGACAAATGTCATTAATAAATAAAAAAAAATGCATTTCGAATTGCAATCAAATATCTCAACTTACCTCAATGCCATTCAGACTGACGCTGCGCCTGCGTCGCAGCTCAATATGCACGGCATTGGCGTTGGCGTCGGCGTCGACGTCGCCGTTAGCAGCGCCAGCGACAGCAGTGGCCAGTGTGTCCAGCCAGAGGGCGGCTAAGACAATTAGGCACAAGCGATGACGATAACGATAACGATGACGATAACGCCGACGCTGATGGGCCGCACTCGCAGACATAACGACGCTTTTTCAAGTTGACAACAATTAAGCGATTTGTGTGGCGCCTTGTAATACTATTTACATTAGTTGCTATTGTTGTTGTTGCTCAAGCGATGGGACTTGCTGTTGTTGTTGTTGTTGTTGCAGCTACCACGCGAACAAATTGCATTGGTTGCAAAATAAATGTTGTGTTGTTTTTGCTTTGTGGTGATTGCCTTTTGATTCTGCTGCGCAAGCTAATTTGACTTGCGTATTTGCGTCATAATTTTAACTTGTGTTACATTTTCTGCAAAACATTAAAACAAAAATTTTGGTATTTCACTTAATTTTTCGATTGCAGCAGCAGCAGCAGACGTAGAAGCAGCAGGCCACAGAGAAAAGTGAATGCACGCAGCGCTGCTGTTAACGACGCTGACGGTGACGGCGACGTCGACGTCGACGCTGACGCCCGCTGCTGGCAGCCAACTTTTGCGGCAGTTAATTTAACTGTTTATGCACTAATTAATTGCCGCTGTTGTTGTTGTTGTTGTGTTAGTTTGATGTGCAGCAGCTTTGCTTTACTTTTTCTACCATGCAGCACTTTTTATTTTTTATTTGCCCAATTCGATATGAAGTTTGTTGCTTAAGTCGTTTGTGGTATCGATTGCGATACTCCGATTAGAATATCAATTGGCCACACTTATCAATTCAATTGGCGCTTTCTGTGTGCACTTCCTGATTGCAGCGCAAACAGATAACGATTGCTGCAATTCAAATTCGCCAAGTGTAGCAGCTGCTGTTAAATAAAGTCGTTGCTATTTTCATGTTTATACGCATTTATTTGTATTTAAACGCCGTCGTCGCGCATACACAAAACATCAAGAGCCGCTCTCAAGCATAACGATTTTGAGTAAAATTTATGATTTTTATTACACTTTAGTCCAAATATAAATAAATATATAATTCGCCGTGTGCAGACCGTTTCCGTTGGAAGTCAGCTCAATCGATTTAACAAACTATTTTATATTTAGTTGGGAACAACTACAAGAACCGGAGAGTTTAACAGAATTTCAAACTCGAACGCGCGCGCGGTTTACCAGTAGATCTTTTCACGGCAGCGCCCCATTGGCGAATGACGAAAAATCACGACTGCGGAAAACTTTATGCATGCGGCGGGGCACACGATCGACGCCCAACGCCGTCGGCTCTCGCGGCTCGTGAGAGCTGTTGGGTAGTCTTCTTCTTCTTCTTCTTGGCCTGGCTCTGAGGTCGAAGATTTAGCTACTAGCCATATGCTAATGAGCCAGAGTCGGACGGAAAGGAACAATAGAACGGCACCGTTAAGTAAAGCAGCCGAAAAATTAGCAGCAAAAAAACAAAAAAAAAACAAAATGAAAAAATTATAATAAAGAGAAGCAGAAGTGCAGAGAACCGAACAGTGCGATGCCAATTGTTTGCTTGTTTTCTTGTATTTTTTGTGGTCAAGTGCCTGAAAATGATGGGGTAGTCGGCCAGACGAAAACTTGACACTGATCATCACAGTCGAGTAAAAAACAAACTAAGAATTATGCTGCATTTCCGTTTGGTTTGAAGTTGCAGCAGCAGCAACAACAACAACATAAAGAAAAGCATTATGAAGGAAATCTTAAATCAGCAATGCAAATGTAATGCAAGCGCTAAATTGTAGAAGAACGCCGCAGAACGGCAGCCAATTGAAGTGATCAACTTTTAATTGATGCAATCAGTCACAGAGACAATGATAAATCAGCAGCTGGAAAACATTTCTATTTTCATATATCAATAATACTCAGTTAGCTTTTACAATTTACATTGCCAGGTTAAAGTTCAAAATTATTTACAGATAGTTTTGCGATTTAACGTATCTAATTCAAAAATTTTGTTATGGGCAGCACTTTTTGGTGGCAAGCACAAGCTGGCTGCTACATCTCTATACAACTTCGCTGCAGTGTTGCAATGTTCATATCTGCGCGCATCTGGTCACACTATTAACTGCTATTTTCGGAGTTACTTCATTTGGGCACATTATTTTCATCATCTTGCGTGCTTTTCAAATCTAAACGGCAGCGGCTTGCGTGTGCATCGTGCGCAGAGCTCGAAAGACTCGAAACAAATTCGAAAAAAAAAATAGTAATCGTTGAAAAATATAAATTTTAAACAAAATCTGTGCAATCTAAAACAAGATACAAAACAAAATTTCAACAATATATTTGCGTTCAAAAACTAAAGCGACGCGCTCAAGTGCAAAAACAAAATCGAAGCGTTCTTGTTAATTATAATTATATTTGTGTTAAAAGATAATAAATAAATATACAACATGGTGAGCACAGCGCTTAAAATGATCATGGACGAGGTAAGAATACATTTAAATGCACATTTTTATTTAAGTTTTAATGGGCAGCAGCTAACGCATTGCGTTGGCAGCGACGCCGCCGCCATTGCTGCGTCTGCGTCGGCGCAGCAGCTAAGCACAAAAGAGAGGGGTAAAAAAAAATGCCGTTTTGTCTAGCGTTGTTGTTGCAGCAGCAGCTTGGCGCTTGGCGCCCTTTTTTGTGCTTTCTGGCAGAGTAGCGGTACTTGTACCGCTAATTGCATCTCTCTGCTATGCACCGCATACAAAATGGCCGCCATGCATTGACCCCCATTGCGATTGTGAATACTTGCAGAATGCCACGGAGAAGTACAATAATGTCCAAGTGAAGAAATTGACGGTGCCTTCAAACGAGGCAAACCACACAAAGCGCGCCGCACTCGGCGATCTGCAGAATCGAGGACTGAACCGTGGCGTGATCTCCAAAGATGCGGCACAAAAGGAGTGAGTTATGGGGGAATAGTTAAAAAGTTTAAGAACATTTATCCAACATAAATATCGCAGACTGAAAGATGTGAAATTGACCAAGGCGCGTGTGGACACACACTGGAAGAAGCAGCCGCTGGGCGTGAGCAATGCCAATGCCAATGCAGGTGCAGCCAAAGCAACAGCCGCCTCCCTGATGCGCTCGAACTCGATGCGCACGCATGGGCAGCAGCCCGCCGCTGGGGCCAGCCAGATCTCGGCCAGCACGCTGAACGCTGGACGCACTGCCGCAACGACAACGGCCAATGCAAAAGTGGCCGCCGATGCGAACAACAAGCGTAAGTATCCAATCCGAAAGCATAAAACATTGGCCCAGCCCAAATACCACATGCCAACCTCCCAACGTACAGTTGCAGCTGCAGCCAAGCAGAAGTCCATCTCCGACGAGAAGGTCAACACGCTGCGCCGCGAGGACAGCAACTTGTCACGCAAATCTCTGACCAAGCTGCGCGCCGCCCTGGCCAAGCCAAATGTGCCTGCTGCCGCGGCAGTCAATGCACAGAAGAAGGAACCGCTGGTGACCAGGGCGCAGACCAGGACTGCAGCAAATGCGCTGGCAGTTAAAAAAGATGTGACTGCTGCTGCAGTGCATCTAAAGAAGGAGCCCACGGCGCTGGCCAGGCTGCCCAAGATGCGCCCCACACCAGTCGTGGCGGCCGCAATAGTTCCATCAACCCTATCGCTGGCCGGCAAGAGGCTGGCCGAGGTGGAGGACATTGATGCCGATGATCGGGAGAATCTGGTTTTGGTATCGGAGTATGTGAACGACATTTACGACTATCTCTATGAGCTGGAGGAGCAGCAGCCCATTCAGACCGATCACTTGGCCAATCAGCTGGAGGTGTCGCACAAGATGCGCGCTGTGCTCATCGATTGGATCAACGAGGTGCATTTGCAGTTCCATTTGGCGGCCGAGACATTCCATCTGGCCGTGGCCATTATCGATCGCTATCTGCAGGTGGTCAAAAATACCAGGCGCAAGTATTTGCAGCTGGTGGGCGTCACGGCTCTCTTCATAGCCACCAAATACGAGGAGCTGTTCCCGCCGGCCATTGGCGATTTTGTGTTCATAACCGATGACAGCTATACGGGTCGCGAGATTAGGCAAATGGAGCTGCAAATACTGAAGGCCATCGATAACAATCTGTCGCGTCCATTGCCCATACACTTTTTGCGTCGCTACTCGAAGGCCGCCAGCGCTGAGGATGAGCATCATGCCATGTCCAAGTACTTCTTGGAACTGGCTGCCATGGACTACGAGCTGGCCAGCTACAAGCCCTCCGAGGTGGGTTTTCGTTTCCAAAGGCAGACTTGGTTTCTAATTTTGATATGTTGCCTTGCAGATTGCAGCTGGCTCGCTGTTCCTGTCGCTGCACTTGCTCAATGGCAATGCACGTGCTGCCACGGGCTTCAATGACAAGCACTGGACGCCCACTCTGGTGCATTACTCGCGCTACACGGCCGCACATCTGCGTCCGATTACACGGCAAATTGCTAAGCTGGCGCGCGATGCGCCGACTACCAAGTTGCGGGCCATTTACAACAAGTATCAGGCCAACAAGTTCCAGAAGATTGCGCTGCGTGCCGAACTGAGCGGTCCGCTCATGGACTCGATTGTGGGCAAGAAATAGTAGATGCGCCCCTCACTCCTCCCCACCACCCACACGCTACGTGTCGACTTTTGGACCATGGCATTGCAGTTATTGTTATTATTGACTGCATTTTAAGTTTAGTTCAATTTGTTTTCTATTTAAATTTGTGTATTTTTCGTTTCGTGTCCCTCACTTTATGTACAAATGTGCGAATGTGTGTGTGTATAATAATCATTATATGATCCTCATCATGATTACGTTTAATTTCCGACCCTGTGCGCGTCTCGGCAGTCCGTCTCCCCCCATCGCTTTGATTGGCCACAAGTTCGATTTTGTCCCTGGTCTGTCTGTGGCCCGCGTCCCCCGTCCCCCTGCTGCATCTATGTATACATATCTATTATATATGTATGATTGTGTGAGAGGATGGCTGGAAACTGAGCAAATTTTATATAAAAAGAAGAAAGAAAAAAAGAGAAAAACCGGTGAGCAACGAGCGCATTTGCTGGCTGAAGATATCGGCGTTGCCTCTCAAAGTATTTTAAGTTACTTTCCCAAAAAAAAAAAAACTAAAAAAAATAATTAAAACAGGCAACAAATTCGCCATTTTACGCATATATTATATTATATTTAGCTTAAGCAATATTTGGATTTGGAATTTGTGCTCTATGTATTAAATCAATTTATAAATATTAATAATTTACGAAAATCCAATAAAATTCCCAGCGAACTTGCAAAAATCCCACAAAATGTCCCGCCAATTTGTATTTGTAATCATAATTTCCCTTAGGGCACATTGCAAATAAATTAGTACTTTTTTGCAGCTCCCTTGAGCGTGCTTTACCAAAAAAAAAAAACAAAACGAGCAGCTGATGAGGTCTGTGAGAAAGTTGAAAACCGGAGCGTCACCTAAAGGCAAAAGAGAAAAAAAAGAAGCTAGACGACCCCTGCGCAGTCCTTATCAACTCCCAGATACACACAATCGTCCAAAATCAGACAATGGCAGCAAATGGGCATTGAAACTCGGTTTGCCTTTACTTTTGCTTGGCTGTCTCTTTGATCGCAGGTCAGTTTTTCCGCCCTTATGTTCCAACTTCTTTTGCTGGCTGAGCTCATGTGCGTGCGTGTGTGTGCTCTCTCTCTCTCTCTCTGTGTTCTTGTTTCTTTTGGGCTGCTTTATGGCAATTGCCTGGCGGCGGCAGCATTGCCTCGCCGTCGTCGCTGTGTGCCCGCGCACGTGTATGTAAATAATGTGTTGCGTACATGTCGGTGTGTGTGTGTGTGGGTGCCCATGTGTGCGTGAGGCTGACTGGCACCGAGAAGAGCTCGACTGCGACTGCGAGTGCGAATGGCGGCGACTGCTTGCTGCGGCCGCTGTTCGCCTGTTCGAAATTTAAGTTTGACGGTTTTATAGCTCCCATTAATTTCGACACTTTTACGAGCAAACAAATGCAATAAAAAGAAAGCAGGCAACAACAACAACAACAACGTGGGGAGCACGCAGCGCCAAGCCCGAGGCCTAGTAATTTGTGCCTCTTCCATGGAAAAATCGCAGTCACTTTTTGGTTTTGTCTTGTGCGCTCCCCGCCAGGAGCCAGTTTTACCCGTGTCCTGCCGCA